ATAACCCCGTGCAGCACTTGGGGTTGGCAGCCAAGGGGAGAGAAAGCAGCTTTGCAGAAAATCTTTCGGTAAGGAGCTGAAGAGGGGCCTGTGTGCCCTTGCAGGAGTGAAATTTGGCTGCCTGCCTTAGGAAGAGCATCTGGAGTGCAGGATCCAGTTTGGGGATCTCCAGGCCAAGAAAGACTTTTGACAAGCTTGAGCAATCCCAGCCATCAAGATGAAGTGTATGAGGAAGGGCTGAAATGGCTTTGGTTTAACCCTGCAAAACAGGAGGGGGGTAGATGGATTGCCCAGAGCCAGACCCTTCTGAGAATCTGGAAGGAGAAAGGATGAGAAGGAATGAACACGAGTAACAGGAAGGGAGATTCTCCTGGGGTGGAAGGAAGAGATTCCTGCCAGTGGTCAAATGGTGGAGTTGTGGAGAAGCTGTGCTCTCTCTCCCCTGCAGATGTTCTTAACTGGGCTGTACAAGCTGCTGAGCAGCAGGATCTATCTCCAAAAGTAGCCCTGAAGTCACTTTCAACCTGATTATTCTGCAGTTCTTTGATGACTCCAGGTAACAGAGCAGTGATGCTGTCCCAGGTCAGGGTGACTTCTCTCTCTGATGGTGACACCCTTCCAGATGTAATTCCAGTTGCTGGTGCTTCCAGACTGTACTTTCCCTGGTGCTTGCCTTGCTGTGGCTGACAGCAGGACTCCTGTACCCCAAAGTGTCTCCCCTTCAGTCCACCTTTCCACCCTGATTTATGTAAAAGGAGAACATTCCCACCACCTGGAGGGTCTGCTGTGGGGTTTTCTGTGGAAGATTGACCTGGCAAAACATTGCCTTTAGTTCTTAGGGGGAAAAGGCTTGTTTCTGCTTTGAATTTTCCAGCAGCAGATGTAACCTTGTGTGGCTTTCCTTCACATCTGTCTCCCTTCTCGTGGGTTTAGTCCTCCAGCTACAGATTTCTAGGTGTTCAGCTGTCTGCGTGAGAGATGAAAAGAGGAAAAAATTATTAAAAAAAAAAAGAATTATGAAACAGAATAATAGCATTGGGAGTCTGGGAAACCCCACTGGGGGTTTACTGAGAAGGTTGAAACACAGTACAAACAAGAAATAAGTGGTGTGAGAGAAGCAGACACTGAGGAGGTAGTTTGGTAACAGATGAGTTTAAGCTGTAATGAGGAAAAATGACAGAAGCAGTGAGAAGAAATACAAGGGAAAAAATTGTTTTCTGTATTAAAGTAATTAATTATGGTAGCCAAATGGAGTCTTTAAAATAGAGAAACTTTTCCTTGCTGTTTCAGGGGTGGCACGTGTGCTTTGCTCAGTTGTTGGCCTGGGTTTAATGCCTTTTTACTGACAGTTTCCTCCTAGATCTTGGGAAATAAATTATCACATTAGCATATAATTTGGGTACTTTTAGTAAATTTCATCACTTTTATTTGTGCCACAGCCCTTTCCAAGGGGCTGCCAAGTGTCTGTAGCGCTTGATTGTTTTGACTAGTGCAGCTTGGTTTTCCTATAGCTGGGTTTGTGTGACAGGAGCTCGGTTTGCAGGACTTTTTGGGGATTTTGCAGTAGCCACCTTGGGTGTGTTGGGAGTATTGCACTACTCCTGCTGTCCTGGCATGAGGTTTATTATGGATCTGTTAAAGCCTGCCTGGTCAGCGTGGCTGGGAGGTGTGTTTTGAGATCAGCTGGGATGTGTGACCTCTGTGAGACCCACCCTGTATCCCTGTTACACGAGGCTTTCATGTGTAAGAACTTCACCAGTGAAACGTTGCTTACAGAATTTCAGGGCTGCGTGGGAGCACTGCTGACAGAATTGCCAGAAAATAGACCCTGTGTTTTATACGAAAGCAAACCCCAATAATAAAATATTCTTTTCAAGTCACCAACTAAGAAAGCTTTTCTAAAGCCTTCTGTGTTGGGAAAGCAGGCTGGTGTAACAGAATAACTGCAAAATAATGATTGGCTAAAGAGACTAATGAGCTCAGTTTTCCGAGCGGGATTAATCCCGTGTTTAGCTCGGGATTTCCTGCGTGTGGAGCCCGGATCTCTGCAGTCACAGGGGCTGTCCCAGCGGCGTGAAAAATGAGATGTGGAGGGCTCGGACGGAGCTCTCGGGCAGCCGCGGGACCTGTGGCAGTGAATAATTGCGGAATAGAAGCTCATTGACTAAAGCCCGGTTTACGTGGGGCTGAAGCTGGAGTAAACAGTTTAGATTACTGGGAAGTGACGGATGCTTTCGATTCATATAATTCTTTGGCTAAATCCTGTTAAAAGGAGCTGCATTCTAGAGAAAAGAGAAGTGGTTTCGGAGGCGCCGTGGAGAGGAACTTGGTGCATTTTTTTGGGGAGTTTTGGTGTGCCAGGAGTATTTTAGTACTTGTGTGACTAAGTGGATATTTATTTTGCCTTAATGTGTATTTGATTATATTACATCAGCTATAAATACTGGAAGCTCTAAAGCATCTATTTCACTGTCTGTCTCTAATCTTGGCTTTTGAGGAACATTTAATGTCTTGTTGTGGTTACAATTAATCTGCGTGTGTTTTAGCAATTAGTGTTTATGTGCAGCAGCGGATTCTGGCAACTGTCAGTCAGCAGCTGTAACAGGCTCTGAAGAAAGGATGGCAGAAAACACAAGGTGATTTCCTGCCTGCCTGGTTATTTGGGAACACAGTTTCGTGGACAAAACACCCTTTCTGGCTGTGATTCCCCGTGTAGGCAGTGAGTGGCGGAGGAATTGTGGTATTGTCATGGCTTTGATGTGATGGAGCTCTCTGCTACTGTCCCAGTTTAATGGGCTAAAGTTTAATTTACTTTCTTCACCACCTTTTCCAACAGCTGCTGGTTCTTAATTTCTTGTAATTTCCCTTTATGTGGGCATGCTGGATTGCTTTAAAAAAACCTTCATTATCATCTAGAAAAATGTCTATCCCCTGTGAGCCATTAACAAAGGGGTGACAAAACACGAAAAAATTTGAGACATCTGAATTCTTCTTGGCTAAGATTTAATAAAACTGATATGAATATGATACTGTTCAAGCAAAGCACAGATGGAGGAGGGAAAATGGTTTGTTTTAAACAGAGAGCATCTCTGGTAGTTCACATTTATGAACTGCCTACTGTGTTGGTAGCCCCTAGTCTTGAGTACTCCCTACATCTCTGGGGTGTGGGAGCACTTTGCCTATGATTGCTTTTTCCTTACTGTTTGCTTTGAGGCTGTTTTGGTTTTTAAAGGAAGTGGAAAAACTTAAGAGAAAGAGGTATTGGCAGAACAGTGCAGCTTAGTAAAGCCGATCTGGACGTGTTATGGAATCTGACCTGGAATATGCCCTGGGCTGGGACTGGGAAGTCCACCGGCTGCTCCCGGCTCCGTGGGCTGGACACCTCGAGCAAGTCACTGCGCCTTTCCCTGGCAGCCACCACCTGTAAAATGGAGATAAAAATAATGATCTTCCTTCAGCTGTTTTCCAGGCTGCAGGAGGTGGGCACGATACCAGTGTCCTCATTAGCATTTTTTAATTTTAATTTAATTTTAAGGCTCTGCAGATTAATGCCTTGCCCTGGATTGAAGTGGCGGGAGCCGAGGGCCGGTGTCTCACACTCCGCCTCCTCCCTTCTCCTGGGCTCTGCTGCCCTGAAACCTGGGCAGGAGGAAGTTTATTGCAGTGGTGTGTGTGGACAACACCTGAATTCCTTGCCCTGAGGAGCACAGGGTGGGTGTGTGAGAGCAGCAGGTATTGATGGTGTTCCTGTCGTCCCACTGCTTTGAGCTGGAACAGTTCCCTCTTGCATTGAGTAGATTTAAATCTGTTTTAAACGAGGAGGCAGTAAAATGTTCAGGATCTGCAAAACAGCTTCCCTTTCCATCCAATTGCTCGTTATCTGTACCTTCTCTTTGGATTTGGATTTTTTCCCTCTGCATCTTGATGGGAGAAATGCTACAAAGGCATGAGTTTTGGAAGCTTCAGCCCCGTTTGCCAGGTGCTCAGCTGGGTTTTGAGCGTGTCAGCTGTGTTTGCTGCTGCAGATTGTGGAGTAGGTAATTGCAATTTGTTTTATGCACTTTATAAGTGGGCTAACAGCCCTTTTTTTACATTATTTTTGTTACTTCATGTGAAGAATAGAGGGCAGTCTAAGAGTCACTTTACATAAAAATACATAAATTATTTAAGACTATGAGAGAGTCAAAGTTCAAACACAAGAGAATCTTCAGTTAGACCTCCCCAAAAATACAAAAATAAACTACACTTTCACAGAGAGGAGTTTACCTTATCGTACCTTTTTTTGATGTTGTTTGGGTTCAGTAATTGATATTTTTATTAATAATTCATTACATTTTCGTACAGTTTCTTTGTAGCTACCTGTTGTTGTAAAGTGGCTGATGTGTATCTTTGGGGTTTTTTTAACTGTATCACTTCTGTATGAAACCCACCCTCTGATAGGTGCTGGGAACCACTGATTGCTGTGTATTTTCTAGATAAGTGACCCCAAGGGATTTATATTGCTTAGCAGCCCACTGTTAGATGCTGTCTATTACTGGATTTTTCCAAACCTTCGTCACGGGGAAGAAACGAAAGAATGAAAATTTGGACGACTGGAGTCAAATTATGAGGAAAACAGAGCTTCAGCCTTTGAATGTAATTTCACTACTAGCAGACCACCTTGAAATCTTATTTTATCCAAGTGTTAGTTGTGAAGGAGGCAATACCCATCTCCCTCCCTCTGCCCTGCCTTCAGAGTGCGTGGTGCCGTGGTTGAGCCCAGTTGGTGGGGCCAGGAGCAGGCTGGAAAAACAGAACTCCCAAGTTTGGAGGGGAAACACTTCCCACTGAGCCTTTGAATGGCCAAGTCAGGAGGATTTTTGGGGAAAAGAGGGAAACAAAGCCAAAATAGGTGTTGCTCCATTCCTGTCGCTCCTGTTGTTTGGATCTGTGGTGGGGTAGGCGCGTGGTCCTGGTGCCGCGTGTTTTCCCTGTCTCTGATTATCCCTTCCCTCCCGCAGGTGCTGATGTGACAGGGACAGAGCCCAGCAGCTCTGACAGCAGGGGGGAGCGGCCAGACCCCTATGCCAACGTGGAGGAGGCTCTCCTGGGCGGGGAATCCAGCTACATCCACCAGCCCCTGACCCCGGAGAAGGAGGACGCGCTCCAGGCCGCCACGGTCGCCAACCTGCGCGCGGCTCTCATGAGTAAGAACAGTTTGCTGTCCCTGAAAGCCGACATGCTGGGCGAGGACAGCTCCCTGCTCTTCGAGTACCTACCCAAAGGCACCCACTCGCTCTCTCGTAAGTTGGTGTTCTTATATATATATATTTTTTTTCTTTTGTATAAGGATAATCTTTAGTGAGAAGAAAACACAGGTCACTGCCTCATTTCTTACCGCTCACGTGTTTGTATCCAATTTTTTATTTTCTGTAAAATTTGGAAACCTGTGTCTGATATCGATCCGTGGAAGGGAATATTCTCTCTGTAGCGGTCGCCCTCAAATTTCTGTTTCGCTGCTTGGCAAAACTTTGCAAACAAAATACAAAATATTTGTGGTAAAGGAGTAGCTCCATGTTTCGAATCCAAACATGATCGATGTTGAACAGCTTTATTGTTGCTCCTGTGTCTGTGGAAACAGTTGGGGTGTTGCAGATTGCATGTTCTTTATTTGGAGCAGTTTAATTTTGGACCTGTAAGTAATGAGCAGCAATTGACTGTTTTGTTATAAGTGCACGTGGAAACGAATGTTTTTCTACTGGTGATCTGTTGGGGACAGCTGATGTGAACCATTAGGTGTGGAGAGCTGATTTTTCAGCATACTTTTGTGTTTTCTTTGTTGCAGCTTGATTCTCTAGTGCATAAAGAGGCAGAAATGATTAGTGCTGTATTTTAATAATGCTCTCAGAAGGTGGGGATGTCGTTTGTGACACAGGATAGGGCAAGCAGCAGCTTTCTGAGGGCTACATGGAAATTTCCAGGAGAAAATGCTTATTTTCATTTATGCTGAGAAAACTGACCAGTTAAATAGAACGAAAAGTTCACTTAATGTATCTGTTATTCTGTTTTCCTTCCGTTTCCTCAATGGCAAAAGATAAATAACGGTCACAGAGTCAGAGGATGAATCAAAGAATCACAGAGTAGTTTGGGGTGTAAGGAACCTTGAAGACCATCTTATTCCACCCCCCCTGCCATGGGCAGGCACACCTTCCACTTGACCAGGTTGCTCCAAGCCCTGTCCAAGTGGCCAGCTGGTCACTGGAGTTGTAGGACAAAGGGAAATAACTGCACAAGGTAGTGCCAGGCTTAGTGTCTCTTTTCACTTCTCGTGTCTAAACAGTGGGATTATTTTAAAAAAAAAATCTCTCTAAAGAACCTCAGGTTTCTGTACCTTATTTTGCAGCTTAAGTGTTTGTGGGGAACGGCCGATGCCGCCTTCTGGTTTCTGTCACGGTAACTCACCGAATGATCTCCGGTTAAATCAGATTTAGATGGTTCAGGCAGCGCTCCGGGGCTGGAAATCCCTCCATGGCAATGGAATAGCACAGATTCTGCCTCAGTTCAGTGGCTGGGTTTGCGTGCAGGGAGCAGAGTGCCCTCAGCTGGCACCGGGACAGGGCGAGCCTGGATCGATGGCGACCGCGGGTGATTGATGCACCGCGGGTTCCGATCCGTGACTCGTGACAGGCGGAATCAGCACTTTCATCTTCCGTCATGATAAACTGGAGTAATGATGGGGCTGCCCTCTATCCATCATCCTTCTCCTGGTTGGAGGATTTTTAGGTTTTGCTTAAAAAATTGAAGGACCACTTGGCGTAAAGACAAATGAGTATAAGGCAGTCGTAAATCCGGGCTGGGAATTAGAGATTGCCCAGCCAGCTGAGGAGGGAAATTTGGGGACAGTCATGGTGTAGGCAGAAGACCTTCTAAAATAAGCTAAAATAAAGCTGGATACGTTAGGAAAGGGCATGGTTGGTACCTCACTGAGGGGTACCATGACTCAGGTGGTCCTTCCAGCGTGTATGTGAGGTCCCTGCTTTCCATCTTCTCACTGTCACTTGAATTTCACTCAGCTGAGCTTCAGTTATCTCATCTTTATGGAAGCAAAGTGAAATGCCCACGTCAGAAAGAAGACTGCCCGCTTGATCTGTAGCTCTCACCCCAGTCGGGGATGTCACTGTGGCCTGGTAAGGGGGTTTTTACAGAAGCAGGGAGTTAAGGGACATATTTTTCTTTCATCTTACTCAGATTCACAGGTACCAATTTATTTTAATCACTCGAAAAAGATCTGATACACGATTCACTTTTAAGTGGTCATCACTGGATACAATAGGGCATCAAGTTTAACGAGAATTTTCAGTGTATAAAATGACAGTGAAGCGAGTGGTAAGAAGATTGTGGAGATCTAAAAGCACAGTCTAGGCTGGTGCTGGCTTTGTAGGTGTTTTTGACGTTTTTCTTCAAAAACAATTTGAGGATGTTGAGTCATTTTAAGTCCTGAGTTATATTAAAAAAAAAAAAAAAAGGGGGGGGGGGGAGGGAGGAGTAGGCCAGAGCACAGTGAAAAAGATTGTATTTAACAAAACAACCAAACCCAGCAATTTTCATCTGTCTGATATGAAAAAGAAATGGCACTAATTTGGGGGATTATAAGTGATCAGTCTCTCTTGACTTTAAAAACTGTGAAGTGTTTTTTTAATCTTGGCTGCTGTCACTGGATTGTCTTTTTGTTCTCTTATGAAGCACTGCAGTACATAAGTGGCTCAAAGAGCAGTGTCCAGGTTTATTTTGCTTTTCTGGAGGAAAAAAGACTTAATGGAGGTGGACAGATGCAAAGAGAATATTAAACATGTTTAAAACTTGGACAAGCCATTTCCAAAGGGGATAGATATTACTCTCCAAGTCACTGCATACATTAAAAGTTTTTATTTGTTCTTCTGCATACTTCACCCTGTTGTAGAAGTTACAGGATACCCCAAGGTTTTCATTTTCCCCCCTATTCTTTTTTCCTGATTCACTCTGTGTGTAATGATCATATGAGATACGAAGCTCTCTGTCATTCTGCTGGTGGAAAACGAAGCCCAGGACGCGTTGTGGGGGTGGTGGTGGTTCTGTTGTATCACTGTGAGCAGTTAACCAGTTCAAACCAATTTAAAATCAGTAGGAAAAATTTAAATTTGGGTGGCACAGGTGCCAGGTAACCTGCAGCTGAGGGGCCCTGCGAGTCTGACGTTCATGGTGTGTGATCGAGACTGACGTTGTTCGTGTGCTTGTCAGAAACCTGGAAGGTGCAGCTTTTGCAGGGAAAAAAAAAGTACATGTGAGTTGCTCTTGGGTAACACCGACATCATCTGGGGAAGTGCTGGCTGTTGAACCTGCATGGCTCGCTGCTGGGGGCGCCTTTCGGATGAGGCATCGTGAGAAATTCAGCTTTCCTGGTCTTTGACGTGTTTTCTTGGTCTGTCTGTTGAAAGCAGGTGGTTGTTCTGTGATTTCTGACTTCAGCAGAGCTCCTTGGTTTAATAACGTGTGTCTTATTCCGTTTGTGAGCCTGAACTTTGGTAGCGTTGTTCCCCACGGTTACATCACATGGCCAGAAGTCTCAAAGGCTTTAGTCCCAGTCTTTTGAGCTGGTTTTGCCAAGTATAATCAGGAGAACGGGAATTTTAATATTCATTAGAAAATGAGGTGGTTAGTTCACATCCTTGTTGTCTTATTAAGGGGGAAAAAAAAAAAAAAAGAAGAGAATTTTAGGGCCATGGGATGACTGGCTCCCTTAAAGGGCAACTTCCACGTTTCAGAATAGTACATTGCATGCTTTTTTATATGTCTAAGTTTGGCTTTTCCTGTTTACCCTGTTGCAACTGAAACTGTTTATAGAAGCAATTCCTATGAAGCTTCCAGTCCAAGTGATTACATGGTACACAGAGCCCTTTTCTTTTGGGCAAACCAACTAATAGATTATTTTTAGTTAGTGGTTCATTGGAGCCAGTAATTTATTCTTGCACTGGATGTTAGGGAACACATTTTACACAGTGGTTGACTTTTCCCAAGAGGAAGTTAAAGGTATTCAGTTTGGCATGGAATTTTTGTACATGGTACACGAAGATTTAGGGGAGAATGGATGCAATTTTAAACGAGATATAATAACTTTGCCTTTTACTTTTCCACAGTAATTTGCTGTCCAACTGTCAGAGAATGCTGTATTCATATAAAAACTGCTAAATCCCTGCTTTATCCTCTGTATGAAGGAAAGCACTTTTGATTTCTGATTTAGGAAGTTAAAATACTTTTGATTAAAATTTGTTTCTGCACAAATTTAGGAGGGAAAAAGTTTTCTCACAGCACCGGTCAGAACGGGACAAAACATAAACCCAGGTGCCCTCTGGGTTCTCGTGTACAAAGTGTGGGTCATTGATGTGGGTTTCTTTTCTTTGTGTTACTTGCAGTTTTTGAAACAAAATAAATATTAAATATTGCTTGGAAACTCATCTTTGTACTTTGTTGTGTTGTACATCTTCGTGGCTCAGTTGGATCATAGTTTATTGTTTCTCTGTGCTCTACTTCACTGCTCGTTCATGAGCCTTAACTTTTGCTTTAAGAAGTGCAGAGTTTCTTGGGCGCCTTTGGAACTCTGGAGAGGTGCTAAAAAAGAATTAATCAAGCCAGGCCCTGCTGGCTGATCTTTACTGCATGCTGAAGTACCATTAGTTAAAGGAAGTGCAACCCAGAGATGCCTCTGGGGCAGTTTGAATCAGTTTGGGATGTTCGAGGGGGGAATTAAAAGGAATGTGCCTAGGCAGGAATTCTGCTATGGACTTGGAGAGCTGGATTCCTGCTAACGGTTTCTAACAGGAAATACTGATAAATTCCTGGTTTTTCTGATTTTTTTTTTCCCCCTATCTTCAATACATGGGATTTTAGCATTTTGTTGTCCTACCCTTAAATTACAACAGCAACAGATGAGCACCACGGGAGTGAAACCTTGGAGCGTTGTTATCCCAGCTGAATAGAGTCAAATAAGTTGTGAAAGACTTCAATCTGGGATCAAAGGGGAGGAAGGTAAATCAAACATCCAGCTTGTGGCACAAGAGCAGAATTTCCTTTCATAGCTGATTAAAAAAAAAAAAAAAGTTTGGGATTGTTCACGTTTCTTGGTGTGGTTTCACTGGAGTGCTTTGTTGTCACCCAGATCACAGCGCTTTGTATTCGGACACAGTGTAAACTGCGACTTGTTATTTGTAGCCCGTGTTGGAGAGTGTGTTTTTTGTATCCCTGGAGGTGTCAATCAAACTCTCTTGTGCTGGAAATGGAAAAGCCTTTAGGGCATAGAATGCTTTAAGTACAAAGTTGTTTATTTTATGCTGTATTTGCTTCTGGTTTTGCCTCCCTGCTTTTCAAAAAGAACGACCCGCTCAATATGTCATTCCAATATTCATTCAAGGCGTGTGCTAAAGCTTGTTTAATAATTTATAATGTACACTGATTTTGATGGCACAGTCTTTATTTGTATTTAGCTTTGTCATTGATTTTTCAGGACAGTTTCTGGAATATTGTTTTCTATTTGGTTGTTGCTGCAGCGTAGGCAAGAGGGTTCAACTCTGCTTGGGCTGGACACAGCATGTTTTCCTTCTGATCTAAAGGGGATTTTTAGACTGTAATGACTGTTAGGTGTAATTGAAGAGTTTTGTACAAATATTTGAACTTCCTTGCTTGTTAACTGTAGAATGACAGGAATCCTTTTTCCCATCTTTTGTAAAGCACTTTGAGATCAAGGACTGACAGCCCGATATTAAATAAACCGCCACGGACAGATCTTGAAATCTGAACCTTTCAAGTTAGTGGAATGAAGTCTGTGTGCACGTTCCTTAAAGATGGAAATGTATGTGTTTGGGACGGTGCTTCTCCAAGAGAAATGTGATTGCTCTGGATATTTGTGCTGCACTGTGCTTCTCTCTCTCCCAACGGACTCCGTAGTGACCGTGCCGTGCCGTGTAACTCCAGCATTTGGGTGGGGAGGCTGGTTTTTAAAAAAAAAAAACAAAACCCAAGGAACCAACCAGAAAGACCAAAAGCCTGGCATCCCTGTCCTGCTGCGTTCCCTCCCGCTGACAGAAGATGAGCTGCGAGTGCTGGGGCGCTGCCTTTGCGAGGCCGTTTTTAAAGCCACCAGCTGGTGCTCGTTCACGTGGGTGAGACTCGTTTCCTGTGTTCCCCAGGGCCTGGCACCAACTCGAATCCTTCAAGGGGAGAATGTGATGGCAAAGTGGAAGCACCATCTCCCCCGCTGCCTTCAGCACACCTTGCCACTCAGAGCCCCCCCGGGATCTGCTCTTCTGGTGAAATGTCACCAGAAACTGTGATAAAAGGAGAGGTGCCTTCCTCAGCCCAGGTAAGATCGGGGGGGAGAAGCGCAAAGGAATTGAAATGCAAAGGTGTCTGTTTGATCAAATCCTTCTCAGTTAGGAGTTTGAAAGGCCTAATGCCTTCTACTTTAGTCTGTTAGTTTTTCTAAAAGGAACACAGGTTATTTTAAAACTAGAAGTCTCTTGAGGTCAGGGCTGGTGCTGTCCCAGTTTTAGCCTTTTTGCCTTACCTGAACAGAACTTCATTCAAAAACCTCTGTTGTTTTTTTTTTTTTTAATATAACTGCCCTTTTTGTTGTAAATTTCTTCATTTGCACAACATTGCACACAAGTATATAATAATGTCATGAAGATAGCTGAGACCTCAGCTACCCATTGCTCACTTCTGGCATTCTGCATTGGGGTTTCTTGTAGCTGCCTAAATTCAGACAGAAGTGGGCTGGCCCTGTTACAGAATCAGGAGTTTGACCTAAAATCCATCATTTTCTGTGGCATTTCTTAACGTTTTTAAGTGATGCTTTAATTCTGTTAAACAAATGGGTGGAAACACAGATTTTCCTCTGCAGTCCCTGTAGGGTGAAGCGAGCTGGTCTGCCTGGTCTGCACAGACCTGCCGAGGCTGCAGCGTGGCTCTGCCTCATACAGGGTTGCCATCTGCCACACGCTGGCATATCGCGAAGGGTTTATGAAAAAAAAAAGAATAAAATCAGCTTTTATTTAGAATTTGGCCCAGCAGTGCCAGAGAGCATTGCATAAAGGGAGTTTGTCTTCTACAGGCTTCTCTGTGTGGAAAGGAAAAGTAGCTGTGGAGGGCTAAGGGAGAATTTTCCAGTTCTGTTGTATCTGCTGTAAATTTTCCACCCAGAGTTTCCCTTTGGCCTGAGTGGGAGCTACGGATGCTTAGCAAGACTGGAAACTGGGTGGTTACCCAAGACCTAAACAGGAATGTTGCTTACTGTCTTCAAAGCACCAAATCCTGCAAAATACATCCCAGTTCACTGCTTTGGCAGCGAAAGCTTTGTAAAGGCACGTAGGGTCGCCAGGCCAAGTGGTTGAGCCTCCCTTAGAGAAGGGGGGGAGGCAGTGCCGGGAGTGGGAGCTCTGCCTGCCTTAACCTCCGTGTGCTTTTTCCTTTGCAGGCCGCTTACGACAGAGTGTTGGCACTTTGGCAGTTTGATAACTCTGACTCGGGTAAGCAGAGAGAAAAATATTTCTTTCGGCTGTCATTGTTTTCCACCTGAAGACACTGATCTCTGCACGTGTGTCCGTGGTTCCGTTTCAGACACGAGTTTCTCCAGGCCCGAAGACGCAGACGTTGCCACCGATGGGACCTTCCTGGATTCAGCCCTGGCCAAGAGGCTGACCTGTGGCTTCTGCAGGAGGGTGTTCCAGTGTGCTGAGGAGCTGAAGGAGCACATCCACGAGCACGCCTTCTCCACGCTTCTCCCGCTGGATGTGGTCGACTGCTCCCGGCCCGGCCTCGCCGACAGCGTTCCCGCCGGCCAGCTCGGCCGCTTCCAGTGCTCCAAGTGCCCCGCCAGCTTCACTCTGAAATCCAACATGGACCGCCACGAAAAGACCATCCACTTCCACTGTAAGAAGATGCAGTGTCCTAACTGTGCCAAGCTGTTCCGAGACAAGACAGACTTAAACCGGCACCTTCTGTCCGTGCACTCGAGCGAGCGCACCTTTGTCTGTCTCTGCTGTGGGAAGGGCTTCGGCACCCAGAAGAACCTCAGTAGCCACGTGAAAACGTGTTACCTGGGCTCTGCCCACCTGGCTGGGTTGGAGCTTTTGGACAGTGTAGGACCAAGCGAGGATCCCGAGGATGCGTAGCTGCCGTGTCGTGTTATTGTGAGACGCTTCCCTAAACTAGGAAAAGCAAATTGTTCCGTGGTTTCTCCTGCTGCAAATAAACCTTCTACGGGTATCATTTCAGAGAGTAACTCCCCCAAGCTGGTCAGTTGATGCTGTGCTGGTTCCAGATCCTGTGTCACTGCAGCCTTGGTGCAGTTTTTGTGCAGAGACAACTTCTGTCAGTCCACAGAGTGGGCACTTTGGCTGTTTTATTGGTGTGCTCATGCTGTGTTCTTACACTACCTTCGACTTTATCAGTAGATCTCAAAGTGCTTTATAAAAGAAATGGTGAAGTTTTCCTCCTATTCTCTGGGAAAATAACATATCTCAGGTTGTTGAAAGTATTAGTAATAGAACTAAATAAGAGAATTCAGTTCCAAGGTCTGCTGTAGTGCTGTGCCTTTAGACAATTTGGGCATTTCAGGGGCTTTCAGTGTGGACTTAGGAGCTGTGGAAGCACTGGGTTGCTCAGCCCTCTAAGCTGTTTGTAAAGTCTGGTTTTCTATGTCTTTTAAAGGAGAAAAACATGCTGCTTGTTCGTATGTGCAACAGGGTTTGAAAGCTGTCTCAAGGCTTGTATGTTTTATTGGCATTATATTTGAGTACTTTTAGGACTTCTTTTTAAGAATCATCCTGGAGTATGGCTGTGGTTCTCAGGAATTCTGTACATTCTTGTGACTCATTTGTTTTATATACTGTAATTAAAATCAGCCAGGCTGAGTGTGTGTGGTGTTGAAGCAGAGGAAGGGGATCTTCACATAGATCTAATTGTGACTCGGGGTGTGCACACAGCATCAGTAGTGGCGGTTCCTGGTGGGTAGAAATCTTACTGTAATTCCCGTTTTTATTCTATGAAATTCACTTACTTTTTAAAAAGATTAAATATTTCTGTGTCTCTCGCTGTATATTTGCATACTAAACCAGATTATGGTGACTGTGAAATGAAAGTAGCATAATTAAGTGCAGTGCTTCCCAGCTGCTCTGTGTGCAGCACAGCTTGGCAGCGTGTGGGGTTGCTTTCCTCAGTGGGTGAGAGGCAGCTGAGGAGAAAAAAGCTTCTGCAGAAGTTCTTTAGAGTTCCTCAGGAAAGCTCTTTCTTGTCGTACTGTTGCATCTCAGGGAGACGAAAACGAGACAAGTTTAGTCGTGCACAAAGCGGAACTTGAGCAGCCTGGAGACTCCAGTGGGGAGCTTCTTCCAGAGCTGTTTGCTGTGGAAAGATGAGAGAGCCCATCGATTCCTGTTGCCCCTGGGCTTGTAAAGAGGGAACGGGCATATTCTGGTGCAACGCTGCTCTGCCTGTTCCTGCTGCGAGTCGGAGCTTCAGGGAGACATCTCAGTGCCGTGCCGGGGCTGGGAAGCTGGGGTTTCCCTGCCTGGCTCAGTTCTTACTCTTCCTTTGGGCAGGCTGCAGTCAGGATTGAGAAGAAGTTCGTATATAATCAGGGTAGGACATCGTACTTTAATCATTTAGGTTTAAATTTTGCGGTTTCTGCAAAGTCATGTTTATTTTTTCCGCTCTTGTTCCCGTTGACATCTTTGGCATCGGGGATCTCGGCTCTCTGTGAATGTGTGTAGTTTATAGTCTGTCAGCTTCCCTTGTGACAGATGTCAGGGTAATTGCCTCGTGATTTATTTTGCTCTTAAATAACCAGCAAGTGAGGAAGGGGAAAGCTGAGCCAGAAGACAGAGTTGCGACCAAAGGAGTCTTATCTGGAAATCTGGGAGCAGCGGGGTAGGATTTGTCTGAAATTGGGAAGTAAGATGCCAGCAAAAGCAATTTCAGCAACGTTTAAAAGGCTTCATTCATGTGATAGTTCGTGATGTTTCGTGTTTGTTCGTTTTTCTCATGTTTGAGAGTTTAATTTAACATGAATTTTTTTTTATCTGTAGTCAGATCAATTCGCTGTCTCTAAATAGAAGTTTAAGTAGTATTTTCCTTGGCCTGTACATCAGAGTGCTTCCCAACATCAGCACTGGGAATTTCCAGTGCTTCCCTTCGGGATCAGGACTAGGTTTTTTTAAGTTGTTAGAACCATAGGGTATAGCAGAGCAGAGCCTTGCTGGGCTTGTGTAGAACAGGTGTTAGAAGCAGGATTTTTTTGTTAGGAAATGGCATGGGAGGATGATGGAGAGCGTGAGTCTGACAATTAAATTACACCTCACTATTTATAACCTGAAGTATAATGGGCATTAAGCGGACAAGAATTTTCTCCTAAAGTTTGTAAACTCTTCATAATAACCCAATAAATGCAGTATTTTAGTGATTATTAACTAGGTATCAGTTTACAGAGTTAATCCAGAGCAGCTCTATCTGGCAGGGCATCACTAGTGCATTTTCTTCTCTCTCAGGGATGTAGGAACCTGTTTCCTTTAACAGCCTCAGTGAAATAAGTTACTTGAAATGACAATTCCAAAGGCTTTTTCCCAGGCATTGTTGTGTTGGTTTGAAAAACACGCACTTTCATAAATATTTTCGTGACGTTAAGTGCACAAATTTTTACTGGGGCACTGTTTGTGTTTCCTTCTCTGTTTCTTGGCGCTGTGTCCACCATTGACGGTGCTGCTGTTAATCATCTTGATGATCATGTTAAAGGTGATTTCTTAGGACCTTAATGCTGCTATATTTAATGCTGCTCTATCAAATACTGTCATTTAGACAAAGATGATGCTCATACCAAAGCTGGTATGTTGCTCATTAAATAGACGTACTGTGGGTGCATATATTTAACAGGACTGTGAAAATGTTAACTCTGCAAAACAGTTACTTTTCTGACAGTGCTGCTGGTTGTCAGGTGATTCCTTTTGTAGATACAAGGACTAAATATATGGCTATTTGGTGAAAAAACAGTTTTCAATAAAAGTATAGCTGCAAACAGTGTTCTGTGAGTATTTTTAAATACAAGTGTACTAGAAGCTGGAATGTTTTTCTTGAGTGATTTAAGCTAAATGCGGGCATGAGGGATCTTGGAATCGGTCAGTGTTAGGAATAGCCTTGAAAACCCATGGATGTGCTGGAAACAGGTGGTTTTTGGTGTGTGCAGGAGGGTGCTGGGGGTGCAGGTCGTGCACCTGACGTTGGGTGTTGCCTTTTCAGCTCTGCAGCAGCTCAGCCATGAAGTGAAAGGAGAGGTGTGGGCAAGGGAGAGCAGGCACCTGGTCACTTGGGAAATGACAGGCTCAGGTACAGCCTGGTGATGCAGGAAATAAGGGATTTTGTGGTTTTATTTCCTTAAAGTGCCTTTGCTTCGTGATCCCGGGATCTGGTTGCTGTCAGGATCTCTGTGTCAGTGTTTTCCAATGGTTCCACCCAGCTTGCTTACCTTGCCTGGACTCCATAGTAACGGGGTTATTAGAACTCTGTGTGTGGCCTGTCACTATTAATCGAGTGGTTACAAGATCAGACTGGAAATGAATTTATCATAAGTAGCTTTATATCCTAAAATCATAAAATTGCCACCTGCTGTAGGAAAACGTGGGCTCCTTGCCTCTGAGTGTGTAGATGAGGGGGGTGTCAAAAACCAAAGGAGAAAATAAAGCAAAAAATAACTTTTCTGTAATGTAAAAGAGAGAGTTTTGATATTCTGGGTGTTAAAAAAGGCGGTAAAATGTTATAAATGAGAAGATCAGTGTGGGGTAGGAGAAGGGCTGATGTTTAGTTCACCAACCAGAGCTTGCTTTGCTGGCAGGTGAATAAAATATTCCTTAGCCTTGGCTTTCCCTGGTGTCAGTGTTGCAGCCATGGCCCAGGTGAGTTGGCACTTCTCTTTTTTTTTTTTTTTTTTTTGGTTCTTTCTCTTGGGCTAGAAAATTCTCTTTGGAAATGTGCTGAGAAAAAGCAGCTGTGGGCTGGACCATCACAGGTGCTGAGCAGCCCAAGGCACCAAGTTAGAAGCCCAAGAACAGAATATAAGAATATTAAATGCAGTGCAAACTGATAATCAAAGGAAGGGTTTTTTTTTCCACAGAGAGGCCTATGTGTAGGATATGTTTAATTCTGAGTAGTCAAGACAAATGCTGAAATAAATTTTGTATTATGACAGCTTTTAAGATCTTGAATAATACTTGTAGTCTGTATTAGAACAATAGAAAACTTCCTAGAATACTTTTTTTCTAAGAAGAAATATTGAAATGTTTGCTCTAATTGTGCAAGGGGGGAGCTGTTACCTTATTTAAAGTTGTCTTTTAATAGTGTCAAGTGGTTTTGCACTTCTGCATGAGTGACAAATGTAGCTACTGTTCACTGTGTTTCACCTGTATTGGAATACGAGACAAAGTAAATTTTAAAAGCAGAAGGAAAAAAAAACCCTAAAAACCAGATTACATGGGCTTACTGTTTTTCCTTAAAAAGGCCATTTTTCAGTGTACAGTGTAACTCCTGGGCATCACCTGTGACATCCTGAGGACATGCACTGTACACACACCTAGTAGGGCATTTATAGGAGGTAATATTTCATTAGGCATCTAAAAATACTGCCAAGTACTACCTCTTTTAGGAGCCAGGTAGTAGGTCTGGTATTCCCTGATTCCCTCAGCTCTCCTCCACAGACTGTTTAATTTATCAAGGGCCATTTACATACACGTAAGGACATTGGGATCATTAACCAGAACTTGCTCTTTTTCCCCCCTCCTTGTTATGTTAATATGTTGCTTTGAGAAGTAACAATAATAAAGAGAAAAGTGGGTGAAAATTAACATAATAATGGGAAGCAATAGAATAATGAGAAACTGGAGATTTAAAATCATCTCCATGTGGACAGCCACTTCCAAACTTGTAGGAGTGGGGGGTTGTACTCAGGGAGCAGCAAATACTCTGTTTTCACCTGCTGTATTCTGTGTGTGGCACTGTTGCTGTGTTTTGGGGGAGGAACCAGGGTTGGGTAACATAGAGAAGAGGGGTGGTTTTAATTGTCCTGTTTCTCCTGGGTCATGCTCAGTCTCTGCTCCTTCACCGAAATGCTCCTGGGGTGTGTGATGATGTTCTTGCACCGCCCCGTAAATAGCACTAAAGCACGAAGTGCTGTTGGGGTGTTACCTCTACAGGCTTCTGTTCCTGGCTCCCTGCTTCCTCCACGAGTAATAGGGTTAAAATTTTATATCTTGATATTTAGGATCATTCTTTATAATAAATCAGAACTGTAGCAGGTTGCCAGCCCTCTTTATTCGCCCTTCAGCAAATGCTGGGCAATGTCCCTAACAGGCTTTTGCTAAATGTTTATGTGTTGCCTCGTTCAAGAGCTGCTCTGATAAAGGTACTTCACTTCTTAGCTTTAATAATAAAAGGGCAATAATGTAATGATTAAAATATATAGATGGTTAAGGAGTGAGGGTGTGATTTCACAGTGAACTAATTTAGCAGCGAGATAGTCAACCAGAAGACTGTTTCGAGACCTCCTGAGATGAATCTCTGTGTTCTGCTTCCTCTCTTACAGTCAACGAGTTCACAGTCATCAGGAAGAAATTCAAGTGCCCCTACTGCAGCTTTTCAGCCATGCATCAGTGCATCCTGAAGAGACACATGCGATCCCACACGGGAGAGAGGCCCTACCCCTGCGAGATCTGTGGGAAGAAGTTCACCCGCCGGGAGCACATGAAGCGGCACACCTTGGTAAGGGCAGGGCAGTGCTGGGGGAATCAGCCCTTCTGTTGGGGTTCAAAAGAAGAGAGGGCTTCGCCTGATTTAAATCTGGATTTTGTTTCCCCCCCCCAGGGTTTGACTGAAGGCTTCTCCTGCATTGTTTTTCCCTGCCTTTCAAAGGCCTTGTGGTTGGCTGCCTGTTCATCCAGAGCTGACCTCCTCCTGCTCTGCGAGCTCAGCTGGAGGGTTTCCAAGGTTTAGATTGGATATTAGCAAAAAATTCTTCATGGGGAGGGCTGGCAAGCCCTGGCACAGGCTGCCCAGGGCAGTGGTGGAGTCACCTTTCCTGGAGGGGTTTAACAGGTATATAGATGTGGCACCTTGGGGGGCACAGTTTAGTGGTGGGCTTGGCAGTGCTGGGGGAGCGATTGGACGGGATCCTGGAGGGCTTTCCCAACCTTAACAATTCCATAATTCTATGACTCAGTACAGAAAGCTTTAAAATACATTGCTCAGCAAGAATTCGAGGCAAAGCTACTCTGGTCTGGCCACGCTTAGTTATCAAAAGTGCTGTTAAATCTTATTAAAAAAGGGCTGCTCAGCTCCAGCTCCGAGGCTGGTGCTGGTGTCTGACTCTTCACAGCTTCCTCAGAAACAAAATTTTAAGCCAAACATTGGTTATTTTTCTTTTACAGGGTAGAATTAATTCCCCATCCTAGAGAGGGTTTCAGGCTTGGTGTAGAGGTGCTGTTGTGGGAGAGCAGACAGTTTCCAGGCGATTATTTCGGCAGCAGGTTCTGGCAGCGGGCACAGCTCACCAACCCCGGCCTTGGAGCACCGGGATCATCGAGGGCCTGCCTGACAATTCGCCACAAACCCCCACCACCTCCTTGACTTCCTTGCCCGCACGTGTGTCCGTTCGGATGAGTGCCCAGCCATCTGCTCTGGGAACTGCCTGCTCCCCGAGATGCCCCTTCCCTGTTTCCTTGGGGCCTTGCGGCTCTGGTGTTCCGGAGGCAGATCCAGCAGCGAGCTCAGTCCTGCTGCAAGCCCACGGGTTTCAGGATGGGTTACTGCTTTTGCAGCAGGTAACGCCTTGTCGTGCCAGCTGGTTGCCTCCAACATTTTATTTCTGAGAGTTTTCCCTTTTTATAATTCTTTTTCCATAAACTTAGGGTGTTGTCAGCACATTTCCCCCCCTCTTTGTTGGAATATTGGTATTTAGTCAGTTAGAATATGATCTTGCTGATGGCGTGGTCTGATACTGAGGGTCAGAAGCTGTTTCTGTGTTTAATGCTTACTAATTTGGCAGTGAGGGAAATAAGATTAGTTTCTACTCAGCTGCATCTGGGAATATGGTTGTCTTTTAAGCAGCTGACTGAACTGTTGGAAAAGAGGGAGAGAGGTGATCAGGTTTTTAACAGATATTCAGCCTACTGTAGTGGCAGGTGTCCCTGCCCATGGCAGGGGGTTGGAACAAGATGAGCTTTAAGGTCCCTTCCAACCAAAACCAGCCTGTGATTCTGTGATAATTACAAATTGCTTTAGTACCTGTTCTATAATTCCTTCTTTTTATGGTTCGTTTAGCCCTTATCCTGCACCCCTGACCACCTTCTGTTCTCCTATTCAGCTTTTGATGCCTGAAAATCATTCTTCTACAAGTTAAAAGTGAGTGATACCTATAGATCCAGCTGGATGACTCTGACCAGCCCTGTCCAACTGCTTTTGAAGAAAATAATAAAATCCAAAATGCCTTTGCTTGATGCAGTAGAAGAATGTCATGGGGACTAGCTCAGAGCAGGGGAACCTGCAGCCAGAGCACATCAGAGGCACTCCCAGGCTTTGAACACGGCTGGGACTGGTGAAACACAGAGCCTGAGCCAGTGTCCTGTGGCAGCGAGGGCTGAGGGGCTACGATGGGTCAATCTGTCCTCTTCCCAAACAGCTTTAGCTCAGCTGAGTATTCCAGAGCACAGGGTTATGGAGAATCAGGTTAGAGCTTTTGATCCCATGCTGAGGCAGGAGCAGGGAACTGGCATCCAGGCAGCTGCTTAAAAATATAAGGAAGGGCTTTAACCAGCCAAACTTTTCCCCCAGGCTGTTTCAGGAGCGTGGGAAGAAATGAGTTAAAAAAGGATTAGGGACTGGTGATTTGTGCCCCAAGGCTCTGGTGGCTGATGGGCTGACCCCAAATCATTGACCGCTGGATCCTTATCTGCTTCTACACCTCTTCCCAAAGTGTCCCTGAGGATCAGTTCCAACCACAGGGCATTGGCCAAGGCAAGTGCCTGGGCTGTCCCCGTGTGGTGTTAATATATAAAAGAGAAATTTATAATGTATATTAGGCAACCCTAAAATAGGCAGTTGGACCAGAAGATTTGCCTAGGTCCCTTCTGACTAAACTATTCAATATAGAAAAAAAATTCATATATATTTAATGTGTATATATATATATATATATACTCAAGAAATAAAAGTACCTGATGAGGCTCCCTGTGATGGAATTGATGAGTTCTCCCTGCACTGGTTTCCTTTAGCAGAGGAGCAGGTGAGTGGTTTGACAAGCTCCTTGCCTTCCATGCAGGGCAAAAGTGGCCAAGGACAGATTTCACTTTTAATTGGGTGATTTCTTCTTCTCAGAGGGTGTAACTTTGCTCACTGAGTAGTGAAGTGTTTGACTCTTGAAGTGATTTCTGGTTTCCTGCAGAGCATTTTCCCACTTGCCACATGTTCTGTGATAGCAGAGTGCAGCCTGAGTTATGGAACAGAAACATTTGTGACAAACCAAAGTAGTCAGAAATAAAGTCACAAGTGCAGCCAATGGGGTTTTTTTGGAGATGCAAGATGCATTCCCAGTCTTCCTGCTCTTTGGTTCTGGGCAGCAGTAGGATCAGGATGAAGACCACTAAATCACCATGACATTAGCACTGTATTGGTCAGGGTAGTTCTGCTCTGGTCTGCAAAGAACTGGTGCTTGGGGTTTTTTTTTCTAATTAAGATTTTCCTGATGTTGGTGCAATGCAGCTCTTGCACCCCAGAAAAACAGAAAGAAAAAGGGAGGAAAAAAAATGCAAGTGTTAAAAGTTCCTCTCAGAACTACTTGATGATGAGTGGGCAGTCCCAAAGGATTTTCCACTGTGTGTCACCATTGCAGGGCTGAATTAATCATGGTGGGTTTGAGTTCACAGTAAAGCCGGTTGTGATCTCGGGTCCCAGCGGTGGATTTACCTTCGCAGAGGGCATGGGAGCGTGTCCTTCCCCGCAGCTCTCCTTCCATCTCCCTTGGCATTAACCTTTCCGCTCATCCTCCTTCTCCAGGTCCACAGCAAAGACAAAAAATACGTCTGCAAGGTGTGCAACCGGGTGTTCATGTCGGCGGCCAGCGTGGGCATCAAGCACGGCTCCCGCCGCCACGGCGTCTGCGCCGACTGCTCCGGCCGCGGCATCGCCGGCCACCTGGACCACAACGGCGGGGAAGGGTCCCCTGACGAGTGTTACCCCGGGGAAGGGCAGTACATGGAAGACCCGGATGACATTAAAGTGGAAGGAGACGAGGAGATGGGAGACGACGACGACATCAAGTGGAAGGACGACGTGGGGATGTCACAGGATGATGTGATTTTAGATGACGACAAAGATGTTGACTCCCCGCAGGAGCCGGACAACTCTGGGGAGAACGACAAGGATTTTACCTGGATTTCTTAGGGATTATTTTTTTGTTTTGGTTTTTTGTTTCGCTCTGTTGTTTGTAGGGGGAGGGAGGGTGGGGAGGAAGGAGTATGTTGGAAAAACTTAAGTAGCCTTGTTGTCGTCCATGTGTGCAAAATAACTCTTGTGTTTTCTAAACAAGTCCTTCTCTGTTCCACTCAAGACACTGTCTTAGCAGTGTCGCTTCCAGCGGCACGACTGACTTTGCCTTCCCTTTTCCCCCCTTCTCCCCCTGGGAGCCCCCACCCGCAGCCGCCCCTCCGGCCGAGCCAGCCGGGATGCATGTGAGGGAGATGGAATTGCTGCAGGTGTGGGCAGGCTGGGTGAAGCATGAGTCCTCCTCCCCTTCCCACCCTGAACCGAGCACCGGGGAGGTTTTTGTGTCCGAAGCAGGTTGGTTGGTTGGGGGATTTTTTTTTAACACCTTCTCTGGGCTAAAATCCCAGCAGCAGTGGAATTCCAAGCTAACGTTGTGAAAGCAGATGGATGCATGCATTGGAGGGCTTCCCCTGACAGATACAAGCCTTTTGCAAAGTTATTTAAAGAGTTTATATTGTTTGTTTTTTTACGGAGCCAAATAGATCAAAAGGCAAGTCAGACTACAGCCTTACGAATACTTCTCTGAGATTCTCAGCTTCCAAAAGAATCGCCATCAAAGACAGATTGTGACTTTTTCTTGGACCTACTGGCATCTTCCCCACGTCCTGTCTTCCAGCCTTGGTTATCCACGGGCACCGAAACGCGTGTTGGTGCTTCTGGAAGCACCTTTTGCTCTAGAGGGCACAGGTAGTTCTGTACCTGTCATTCTTCTCCACAAATATCTCCCACTTCTCCCCCTTTGCTCAGCTGCCTTTTTCGTAAATATATGCAAACCGTAGCAAAAACGAGGCATTGGGCCAAGTGCAGGATGAGCTGGGAAAGGCGGGAAGCCAAGGTGAGGAGATCCCAGCGGGGTGGAACCTTGCTGCTCCCGTCCCGTGGACTGTGGTGGGGCCAGGATTTCGCCTGGGTACCTTGTTCTTCCTTGCCAATCTAAACACTCTCGTTCATCACTGGGAGGTGTAGCAAACGCCTGCTTGGTTCATGACAAAAACTTCAGCTGCGCTGGTTCTGTGTAAATTTTCAAATAAAGCATTTTCTCTTTCAATAAGAACCAGGTTTCTCTCCCGGAGTCTCCTCAGACTCTGTGGGGCCGCTCCAGGTAGTTGGATTCTCCCTGTTCATATCGGCCACTGTTGCCTTCTTCCAGCTACACCTAAATAACAGTAACAGCGTGTGTTGGAAGTGTCTTTGTTCCTGAGACGCAGCTTGTTCTACCTTCACTTCTTTGCTTCTGGTGCTTTTTTTAAATAAATAAATGAAAAAAAAAAAAAAAAAAAAGCTGAAGACCTCACTCCTTCCTTGCCATCGAGCAGTTTTCTACAATGTCTGCCACTAAAGACAACCCAGAAGCCAAATGACTCAAGGTGCTATTTTCCTCCCTGCGGGACAGAGAGCATTCCTGCAGGCCTGGTGGTCCCTAAGGAAAAGCCTGGTTCCACCCAGCAAAGGAATTAAAAGCATATTGTGCATAAACCCCCGTAAAGCAAATCATCTGGAAGGATTTAAGGCGCTCGGTGCCGGGATTTGGTGGAGTGCGGTGGGAGCTTCGATCCTGGCACTTGCAGGGGCTGGTTCTCTGTTCATTCCCTGATTCCAGCTGCATCCTGGGTTTATGGCGTTCAGTCTCTTTCTCTGCTCCTCACTTCCTTGCAGACATTCATTCACCACATCCTCTCTGCATCCATCATCCCCAGTTCACGCTGGCCATCATCTCCTCTGGGAGCCTCCAGCAGCTCCCAGGCTCCTGCTGGGTTGGTTTGGGGGGTTCCTCAGCAGTGTGGGAACGCGGGTCTTTCCTAAAAATCCTCTGTGAGGCCACGCCAGCATCGCTGCTGCTGCTCCTTGGACTGGGGGAGTTAGTGGGACTTTGTTGCTTTAGCCAGTGAGCATGGATAACCCTCTTCCTCAAATGTGGGAAGAGCAGAGTGGGTCGTGCAGGAACATTTTTATTAACCTGTAAAAATCCCGTTTTGCATTTTAGCTTCTTTTCCTTCTCTTCCCCTATTTAAAAAGCTGTAAAAACCCACCCAGTATGTCACGATTGGACCTTTATATACCTTTTGCCAGCGGTTTTGGGGGGGGTTTCCAGAATGATAATTTCCTTATCCCGCTTTTGGCCCCCTGGAGTGCGGGCTCTGTATTTATTGTCATTTACCCTGTAAATATGGAGGGGGTGGGCATGCCTGAGGTCCTGAACGTGCAGCCTCACCTGTTACATGTAGACAAATACATACAGTACTTAAAGATTTATCTGTAGCTTTGCTTTTTATATGTAAAAATCTATTTAAAAAAAAAAAAAAGAATTTTAAGACCCAGCCAGTTCAAACCCCTGGGTTTGCGTGACATTCCGATCGCCCATCCCCTCTGATTCCAGTGTGTGCATCCACCTTCCAAGGAGGAGCAGGTGTGGGCTGAGTCCTCCTCTTCCTCCTGCCCTCACCCTTGGGTGACTCAGTTTTGTAATTGGATTTACAGGGTGCTGAGCTTTGCTTCACAATTCCTTTGGAAATGCCGTATTATTTTCTTGTCTTTCCTTATTTTTATTAAGGGTGGGCAGAGGGGCCAGGCGGCGCCCAGGAGCGTTCCCCAGTTGTGCCACTTCGAGGCTCTTCGAGCTGAGGATGCAAAAAAATAAAAGCAATGAAAAAAAAAAAAAGGAGAGAAAAACGGAAAATCCACATAAAAACTTCTCCCAGGTTACCGTTCTAACCTCGCACGAGCTTCTGCCCCACTAACACCACGTACCAAATAAACCCCTCCTGACACCTGATGTCCAGTGAAGTGCTTTGTTTTGATGGAGGTGGGAACACAGGAATTAACCTTCTCCGACTTCAGTTCAAAAACAGGAATTTGGGTGCATTTTTTTTTTTTTTTTTTAATGCTGAAACTTTATATAAACTTCATCAGTTGCTCTGGGTGATCACATCCCTCCAGCTTCTCTCCGGGATCTCTCAGATCTACTGCCTATGCAAACTTCTGCTCTTGGAGATTTAAACAAAACCCCACTGATTCTGCCTGTTCTGCATCTCGTCTTTGTACTTCCCTTCAGGGCTTTGTATACTTCACTGAGGTTCCCTTTTTTTAATTTTTTCTAAATATATATATATATATATAATATGTGTGTGTATATATATACAGACTTAGTCCCGAAACAAATAAACCCCTTAGAGGTAAAATGTGGATACACTTGGCCTCCAGAACTTGCAGCTCATTTTTTTAAGCATTTATACATGTAAAAATGTTCCTCCTCAAATTCCTTGATTATCCTGATTTTTTATTTAAAACACGAGTGCCAGGAGTACAGAGCGTTTCGACCATGGCATGGAACAGGGGCTGGAGGTTTAGTCCTGCCTGTGCCCTCTGGAAAACATCCCAGGGATACATGGACTAGGATAATACCTTAAAGGATGGAGACAAACGAGGTCCTTTAATGTCTGTCAATTCAGAATTTCCAAAAATACTGTTTAAAAATTGTTCATTCCCCAGCTTTGTGTGTTTTAAGGTCACCCCGAAGCCTCACAACTGTGACTGTGTGGAGGCAGAGGAAAAACTTCCCTGAGGAAGTTTTGCAAAGTGACTGTCCCTTCCCTTTTCCTTCCTTTTTTTTTAATCAAAAATCAATGTTTTGGACAACAAACCGAGTATTTTTTTGTACGAAAGGAAACCCCCCTCCAGCATTACTTCCCCTTTTATTTCCTCTCCCCACTCCTGCCTTTAAACACTCTGCTTTCCCCAAGCGAAGCTGCGTGGCTTTGGGGTGGGTGGGTGTGTTTTGGGACTGATGGCTCTGACCCTGTCTCCGAGCACCCCCCTCACCCCCAACGCTCCTCCTTTTGCACATTGCCCTTGAGGAAAGAAACTCCATGAAAACGATGCAAAAACTGGAATTTTTTGCAATATTCTCAAAGATGATAATCTTAATTTTCGCTCATTCTGTGACACGTGCGACTCCTACGAAAGCCATAATTAGTGGTTCCTTTGATTTTTGTAGATCCTGAATTGTGTTTTGAATTTCAGTCTTTTTTTTCTTTAGCCCCCCCCAGTCAGAGTGCTGTGTGTATGCTTTCATATATATTTATTTTTCAACGTGCTTTAAACCTGTCTACAAAAATAAAGCTGAACAAACACAAAAAAGGATGGTGTTTGAAGATTGTTGATTTTTTTTTTTTCTGGGAATATTCTATATTATACTGACTTTATATTAATTATTATAAACCTGTGTTTGTATTGAAGATGTGTTTAATATTTTGGGGAGGTTGAGGAGATTTCTTAACCAGAAGTCAGTGGGAGAACATGCTGTGTTGTACTGATTTTCTGTCGATGTAGTTCAGGTAAATCTGAGTTTATTTTCTAGTTGCTGCCCGGTTCCTTGCCTGCCGGGGGCTGCCCCTCGGATAGAACCTTTGTGATGGGATTTAGCTTAGACAAACCTGCAAAAATCAATCAGTTTCAATAAATTGGGAAATTGCTGCTACGATTTTGTCTGGTTTTTCTTGTTTTTTTTTTTTTTTATGATGTAGTTACTTTATTTCCCTCCTCGCCCTGTAAGGATGGGATGACAGGGGGGACCTTGGGCACCACCCAGCTGCAGCCCTGCGGTGCTGCAGGGCCCTGCACCCTCCCCTGCTCTGGGATGCTGGACTGGGGGTCCCCACTCCCCAAAACCTCCCTTCAACCCCAGCAGGGAGCTCTGCTCACCCTCAGACTGGGGGTGTTTCTCCCTCACCCTTCCCCTTTCCAATCTCTATCCCAAACAGGCACCTCTTGTGGCTCGTTCCCCCACTCCCTGCTGGGTGTTGGTGGCAATTTCTTTATTTTTAGGGCCTTATCTGAAAATAAAACAACTCCCAGGAGGATGCAGAGGGCAATGCCATTCCTAGGGGATGCAGGAGGGGGGGCGGCAGCAGATCTGGGGGTGCCAAGGGGCCCAGGGTGCCCACCCTGCCTCTCTTAACAGTAAATAAAGAACAGGAACCATTAAAAAGAAAATCCAAATACTTGGCTTTTTTTCCTTCTGGATCTGACACATCACATCCCCAGAGGGGGCAGGTGGGGGGCACAGCACCAACCAACCCATGGGGCCAAAGCAGTGTCTGACCCCTTGAGAGGGGGGACCCTGCAATGGGGAGTCCCTGATACAAAGGGAACCTTCCCACAGGGCAGGAAGGTGGCAGGGCCACACTACCTACCCTCCCTGTCCCCTCCAAATGGTTTTGGAGAGGGAGGGAAAGGGGTTTTTGGGGGTAAAAAGGGGGTTTAAAGTGAATTAAATCCCTCAGAACCCACCCAGGGCTGGAGGCGTCCTGCGGCCCGCGCGCTCTCGTGCTGTGGGAGTGGTTAAAATCACGAATTTTCATATATTTTATTTAAAAAATAAAAACCACACGAAGGAAAAAAAAAAAAAAAAGAAAAAAAAAAAAGGAAAACAAAAAGACCCCTCTTTGTGCAGTTTGGCTTAGTGCAAATGGGCGCATTCCTGCAGGCACTTCCCGGGGCATCAGCCCCGGAGGGAGCTACTGCTCCCCGGAACAAGAGAGAGAAATGACAATACAAAGAGTAAAAACCCCCTGGGGGGGTAAAGGAGGGGGAAGGGGGGGCAGGCGCCCACTTCTGCCCTGGGCACTGGGGCTGCCCCCCGGGAGGAACAGACACCCCCTTTCCCGAGCCCCCGCCGGCCACAGGCACAGCTTATTCGGGGGGTCCCCAAACCGGAGTGGGGAGGGGGCCGGGAGCAGCCGGCCACCCACCCCCCAGCCCCCACCGGCCAGGAGCGGGGTTGGATTTAGCTTATTTTCAAAGGAAAAAAAAGAGGGAAGGGGGACAAGCTCCCTGGCTGGGGGGCGAGGGGGGCTGTGTGTGTGCACATAAAGCTTTCGGGGGCTGGGGGCCGTTCCCTGAGTCCGGGGGGGGCGGCCAGGGGGGTTTGGGGGGCGCGAAGGCACCTCGAGTGCAAAATGTGCAAGAAGGAGGGAGCCGCGGAGGGGGCCCCGTCAGTCGAGGAAGCGCTGGCAGGCCTTCTTCCAGCGGCACGCCGTGCACCACATCTCCCGGTGCTCCATGCCGTACACCTTGCGGCACTTCTTGGCATCGCCCCGCGGCCTCCTGCGGGAACAGGGCACAGGGCGGCTCACGGGGAGCGGGGACACGCGGGAGGGAGGGAGGGAGGGGACAGGGTGTGGGGCGTGACGGCTCACCTGGGGATGGCGGGTGGCTTGGGCGGTGGCGGGGTGGGTGAAGAAGGGGACAGAGGTGGCCGCGGGGGGGTCCGGCAGCCCTGGAAGAGAGGACACAGCCCCCGTCAGACAGTCAGACACGGGGTGGCTGCTGGGGCTGGAGGGTGACGGTGGGTGAGCCCCCCGCCCGTCCCTGTCCCCACCTCCACCCCCATCCCCCCTCACCTGGTACGCGTGGTCGGTGTGGACGTGGCAGCGGCCGGGGGGGCCCGGGGGGCTGCAGGGGGAGGCCAGGGCCAGGTCGGGGATCGGCAGTGCCAGCGGCAGCGGCGGAGCCGGAGCCTCGGGGCCGGGAAAGGCGGGAGGCACCGAGGAGGTGGGCGAAACAGGAGTCAGGCTGGAGAGCCCGTCCGTCAGCGCATCCACGTCCACGTCCAGCTCCGTGTAGTAGAAATCCTCCTCGCCGTCGCTCTGCTCGGGGTCGGCTTTCCGGCTGCAGGGACAGCAGGGTCTGGCTGCAACACCCTGCCCCCATCCAGGGCAGGACCCCACAGGGGGAACCAGGGGACCTTGCGGTGTCCAGGGGGACCCCACGTGCTTACCCAAGGTGCACTGTTCGGATGTGCTTCTGCATCCCTGAGGAGCTGCTGAGGACTTTGCCGCAGCTCTTCCACAAGCACTTGAACATCACCTTGGTGGAGTTCTGCAGGAGAGAGGTGTCAGGGTTCGCCGTCCTGTCTCCATCACATCCTCATCCCTATCTTCACTGTCATCCCCATCCCCAACCTCATCTCCAGCCCCACTGTCATTCCTAGCATTATCCCCATCCCCAAACCCATCCACATGGTTATCCCCATTCCAAACTCATCCTCTTCTTCATTCCCACCCTCACAATCCCCATGCCCAGCCTCATCCCCAGAACCAGCTGCATCCCCAACCTCATCCCGCCATCCCCACCCTTAACCTCATCCCCCTCCTTTTCATCCCTGTCTTCACTATCCCCACTCCCAACCTCATCCCCACCACCAGCCACATCCTCAACCTCATCCTAAACTCATCCTCCTCTTCATCCCCATCCCCACTATTTCCCATCCCCAAACTCATCCCCAGAATCATCCCCAGCTTCATCCCACCTTCCTCTTCCGTGGGATGGGCTCTCCAAAGATGAAGTGGGTGCCGTCGGGCTCGTCAGGGCCCTCATCCGGCAGCGGGGTGGGCAGGAAGGTGCTGGGGACGTGGCTGGAGAGGGGGGGCGAGGGGGTGGAGGGGGTGGAGCGGTCGCTGGGGGGGTCCCAGCTCCAGTCCCCGCTGGTGTTGCTGCTGCTGCTGCAGCTGGAGGACATGGCAGGAGCCTCCTTCCAGACTTCACCGCCCGGCTCTGGTGAGGAGGAGGAGGAGGAGGAAGGTCAGGTCCTGCCATGGGACATGTGTCCAGGGAAGGGGGGACAGGGACACACTCTTACCTGGGGTGTGAGTGGCCGGGGGATGCCCGAGCACCAGCGGGCTGGCGGAGAGGCTGGTGAGCACCGCGGCCGCCATCACCTCGTCGATGCCCGCCTTGCCCGAGAGCTTCCTGCCAGCGAGAGCAGGGGGGCTGTGTCAGGATGGATGGGGCCTCCTGAGCCACTCCATCCCTCTCCATCCCCCCACGAGCTGCTGGGACTGGGGGACACAGTGGTTTGCTTTTGTGTGAGTGGCACAAGGCCACAGTCGCCACACCGTGCTGGGGGTGTCTCCAGGTGCAAAGCGGGTGCCCTGCGCCCTGCAGCACCCTGAAATGCCACTGATCCCCACAGGGATCATCCCAGCAGCCGGTTGGAATCCTCCCTGGCAGGGCATGGCAGAAGTGCAGGCAGCCAGCCAAAAAACACTGCTGTCTCCCACCCTGAGGGAAAACCCTCCATGCCTGGGGGCAGTGCCGTGCTGGAGGGCACCGGCGCCCACATCCCACCCAGAGACGTGGGGATGGCTCAACTTGGGCCGAACAGCTCCATGAGGTGGGGAAAAAAATATAAAAAATTTAGATTAAAAAAAAAAAAGAAGCGAGAGGTCAGGAGCACCAGAAACCGTTTTGCAAAGGGCAGTGATGCTCCCAGCCCGGCACACGGCACAGGGAGCCCCCAGAGTGGGACGGCCGGTCACTGCCGGACACCCGGCGCGGCTGACAGCGGCCAAAGTCCTCCTGTGGCCGGCGGACAAAATCCCATTTCCTGCGGTGAGGCCGGTGCTGGTGGGAGGGCTGTGGCCGTGCCGGTGGCCGTGCCGGTGGCCGTGCCGGTGGCTGTGCCGGTGGCTGTGCCGGTGGCCCTACCTGTGGCGGGGCACGGGGATGCACTGCACGGCCGAGTGCAGCGCCAGGTACTGCTCCAGCCCCGCGTCCAGCACCCGCAGCACGGCCTCCCGGCTGGCCGCATCCTGGCGCGGCGGCGGCTCCCCCAGCCAGCCCTCGGATCCCAGCGGGGCCTGTGGGAGAGACAGCGGTGGGAAGCCAAGAGTCCCCGAGCAATGGATCCCGCAGGGATACCCCCCTGCCCCGACTCTTGGTTGGGTTTGGGGAGCTGGATCGGTGCCTCCAGGCAGGGCTGTGCAGGGACCCTGCCAGACACCCCCGCTGGGATAGATCCCATGTGGATCCCACCAGGTCTCAGTGGCATCCAGCCAGGATCTCCCTGGCACTCCCCGGATGGTCCTGGGAGGCTGATCCCAGTGCCAACACCTGCTGGTTGAGCATCAGCAGCCAGTGGATCCCTCCCCAGGCAGATCCACAGGACCACGAGCAGGGATCCAGCAGGGATCCAGCAGGGATCTCCAGAGCCAGGAAATGACCTGACATCCTTCTGCAAGGCAGCTCCAAGGTGGCAGCACGCACATCCCACATGCCAGCACGGATCCCGCCTAGGGATCCACATCCCAAGTTTATCCCTCTCTGAGCTGATCCCCCAGGATCCAGCAGGTATCCCCAGCGCTGGGAGCACACTTGTCTCTGCCAGGCCAATCCCAGACACAATTCCCAGCCTGAGCGGCGGCGCCAAGGGGATCCCGCTCCAGGGAGATCCCAGGCGGTCCAGCACCAAGCGGATCCCGCTCCAAGCGGATCCCGCTCCAAGCGGATCATCGCTGATCTTCCCAGGGCGGCGCTGGGCGGATCCCTCGCAGGGCAGATCCCTGGAATACCGCACAGGGCTGCGATCCAGGAGGGATGATCCCACCGCGGTGGGGGTGGGGGGAGCGGGTGGCCGGTGTATGTGTGTGTGTAACCCCCCACCCCCGGGCTCCCCGCTGCCACACACTCCCCCCCGCCAAAGTTTATCCCGTCGCGGCGCCATTTTACCGGCGGGGAAACTTTCGGGCGGGCCGCTGTCAGCTGTCACCGCCCCCCGCCGCCGCCGCCGCCGCCGCCTCCCTCCCGGGATCCCACCCCGGTGCCCGCCGCCTCCGCCCCCGCGGTACCTTGCTGGCGGCCCCGGCGGGCGGCGGCGGCGGGCGGCGGCGGCGGCGGGCGGGCATTAGGACCGCGGGCGGGCGCGGGGGTCCATGCGCGAGCGGCCGCGGCCCGGTGGGGGGAGTGGGTGGGGGAGCGCGCTCCGCCGCGCGCGGCCGGGGTCGGGCGCCGGCCTCTCGGCCACGCCCCCCCGGAGCCTCGCCATTGGCCGGGGCGCGCGCGCCGGAGCGCGGCCGCCGCTTTCGGGGCTCCCGATTGGCCGAGCCGCGCTGTCACTCCGCCCACCCCCTCCCTCCTCGCCCGCCGCGGCCGCGCCCCCTCGCTCCCGCCCGCCGCGGCCACGCCCCCGCGCCGCGGCCACGCCCCTCCCGCCGCGGCCATGTTCGCGCGCCCTGCCCTCCCGCCGCGCGCTGCCCGCGGGACCCCCCCAAAAACCACACCACACACCCCCCAACACCACCCAACCCACCAGCCCCGATCAACGGTACCCCGTGTCCCACCTCCCGTCCCGGCACTCCTGGGAGCCCTCCCGGCACGCCTGGGGCCGCCGTGAAGTCGCCCCGCGCTTTCCCGCCAAACTCGCGGAGCTCCCCAAAAAGTTGCGGGGGAACCCCCCCACCGCCCGAAAATTCCCCCGATTCTGTTGTTAGGGCGAGGAATTAGGGGGGCCCCCCACAAGAAAGCGCCCCACCCCCCCAAACTCCCGGCAGCTCCTTCAGACTTACCGGGGCGAAGCTTCCCAGTGTTAAAACTTCGGGGGTTTCCCCCCCTCAAAGCTTATGTCCCCCCTATCAAATTTTAGGGCTGCCGATGAGTTAGAGGGGTTCTCCAAAAGTTGCGGTGCTCCCCACAAAGTGATACTCCCCCAAAACGTATAGGGCCCCCCCAAAGTTCCCTCCGAAGTTTTAGACCCACTGGAAGTTGGCTATAGGGCTCCCCCAAAAGTTACAGTGTCTTTCTGCTGGGAAGGAGGTGTGGTCTGTGTTTTTGGGGTGGGAGGGCTGTCCCCAGTCCCAATCGTTTAGGGTCAGTCCTGCCCAAACCCACCCGTTATGGCAGGGCTGGGTGTGGCGTGCCCGGGGTGCGTGGGGTTCTGGGGGTGCTTGGGGTACTGAAGTACATGGGGTTCGTAGGGTGCATGGAGTGTCCTGGGCATGTGGGGTGCCCGGGGTGTGTGGGTTGTGTGGTGTTACAGGGGGCGCAGGGGGTACTGGGGTGCCCTGGGCATGTGGGGGGCACAGGGTACTTGTAGTGTACTGAGTATTGGGGTCGGGGTGCTTGGGGAGCCCTGGCTGCCTCCCACCCGTGCTCTTCCTCACCTGCCCCGATTTCCCCGGGGCCAGGAGGGCCGGCGAGGGGCCACCAGATCCTGCTGCTGCTGGATTGACCAACGCGCATTCTGGAGGCCGGGACAGAGTCCGTGTGCCTTGTCCCGGACGGTGGCCCCCGCCTGTCCCCACCCCGTCTCCCCGCCTGTCCCCCGGCAGCCCTGGGCTGACCCACACGGCTGATTCCCACGGCTCGGGGACTTTGGGGGTGCTGGGGCGGCACCCCGGGGATGCCCTGCCCGGGAAGGCGATGTTCCCAGCTTGCTTCCAGGGGTGCTTTGGCTGCACCTTATTCCCTGCTCTGGTGGGAAAGGAGGAGGGGGTGGCTGGAGGTGCCGCTTCCAGCCTGCGCCATGCCCAGGTGCTTTCCTAAAGGTGAAATAAAGCAGCAAACCGGGAAAGCCCCCACGCGCCCGGCCAAGAGCCCGGGTGTCACCCCGGGACTGCCGCCCGCGGGGTCCCCCTGCATGGAAGGGGGGGACCAGCAGCGTCCCCGGGGAACCGGGACACCCGCGGGGCCCCAAACCTGCGGGGGGAGGACGGGAGGAGGAGCGCAGCCGGAGCAGCCTTCATCCCCATCCTGTCCTGTCCCGTCCCTGGGGTGTGTCCGGCCCCACAGCCCCCGTTAGAGCGGCCCTGGAGGAGCCCGGGGGGCCCGGGGGAGGCTCCGCGGCCGCCCCTGCTCTGGTTTAATGGTTAACGGCGGCCGAAGCGCTGAGCTGGCCGCTCCGGCAGCTCCGTTCAGTGTTGAGCAACTCCACGGGCATCGCCCGCCCTTGCACAGGGCCCCCAATGCCACCAGCCCGACCCCCGGCCCGGGCTGGGGGGGCTCGGCAAGGTGCCATCCCAAAATAGAACCATAGAATCTCCTGAGTTGGAAGGGACACACAAAGATCACTGAGTCCAACTCATGGCCCTGCACAGGACACCCTCAAGAATCACCCAGCACAGCACCGTGCGGTGTGTAACGCATCTTGCAGCACCGTGCACCGTCCTGCGGAGTGCAGGACGACACGGCAGCCCCGTTCAGCACCGTACGGCGTGAGCTGGGCTCCTGCTCGCTCCCTCTTGTGGGAACAGCACCGTTCAGCACCGTCCCTTGCAGCACCATCCCCTAGCAGCGTGACTTAGAGCCCCGTACAGGTCCATCCCCGGGGCCCAGGAAGGGTGCTCCCAGCCCTACCCTCTCCCCTCACTCTGACTTCAATCTTCCCGACCAGACTCCGAGACTCCAAGTGACATTTTGGGGTGGATTCTTCACTCACTACCCAGATTTCGAGCCTGCAGGGCTCCAGGCACATTTTCCATCACCCTGAGGACTGGGCACTTGATCTTTTGTTTGAGTCCGGCTCTCCCAAGTCCCACAGGAATTATGGGCACGCAGGCAGCCCTGCCCAGCGTGCTGCACCTGCTGCTGGGGCAGGTTGGGAAGATGCATTGGCCACCTCAGCTCTGCCAGAACAGGAGCTTTCCCTCCCCAGGTGCCATGCCAAGCCTTCCTTTCCCCATGGAGGCAGCATAGCGATGCCCCTAGGGCAGCACAGGGCCCACTTCGCCCCAGAGTGAAGCCGCTCTGATCCCACAGGGAGCTGACACCCCTGTGTGAGGCCACGGAGCCCAAACCAGCTCCTGGGGGGGGGTGCAGGTGGTGCAGGAGGGACCCAGCCCTGTGAGGTGGGTGAGGGAGAAGGGGAGCAGGGGAAGGATGCGGCCAGGGCAGCACGGGGGGAGCTGTTACCGGGCTGGCAGCAGGAAGAGCGCGGCAGCACCGGCACCAGCCGAGTTCTATCGGGGCCCTCATCTCGCAGGGGGATGGGAGCAGCTCTCGAGCGGGCGCTGTGGTTTGGCGTCGAGCGCGGGGCTGACGGAGGCTGGGGTGCCTCCGGCTCCAACGCCTGCAGCGGGGTTTGCTGAGCGCCGCGTTTTCGGTTTTAATCTCCTCACCTGCCGCGCTGTGGGGGCAAAGCTGCTGAAGGAAGGCGTGTGGCTTCCTGCTGCACGGCGTGGCACGGCACGGCACAGGGGCTGCAGGTTCCACCCGGCTCCAGCGAGCACCAGGCCACTGTGCCACCGTGCCAGGTAGCCCCTGTTGCCGGGCTACACCCGGCGGAGGCATCGGTGTGACTGAGCCCACCATCGTGTCATCACCTGGGGGTCACTGGGCATCCCTTGGGGCAGGGGTGCCCAATTCCCAGTGGGGAGGAGGAAAGTTTAAGCCCTGGGGTCTGAGGGTTGCACGTCCAGCTCTCCTGAGCACTCGTTTCTTGGCACACTGAGGCTGCAGGACCCATGGAGGTGATGAGGCGGTGAGCAGGCAGCAAGTTGCTGTGCAAATACGCCCTGGTTCCTACCCCAACCCTGTGCAAAGCTCCAGAGGAAGTCCCTGCTCTGGCACAGGCCATCCCATTTTGGCAGCTCTGTGGCTGCATGTCCCCATTTCGGAGGTGCCAAACCATCGATGCAGGGCGGGTGCAGTCACAGTCACCCTGTGCCCATAGGGGCTTTCCCAGCATCACTGTGTCTCTGCTGCAGCAGCACCAGCCCCCAGAACCACGGATTTAGATCCAGTTTAGGAGTGTTAACACCCTCTCAACCTTTTAATGGTGTTTGGGTGATGGCTGCCCACAGAGACACCCTTGCGTGAGTCTGAAAGGGTGGGTGGGAGTGGGAGAATGGAGCAGAGCCCACAGTCCACACACTGCCACAGTCCACAATCCACACGGTGGGATTTCTGGATTGTCCTATGCAGGGCCATGAGTTGGACTCAGTGATCCCTTCTGGGTCCTTTCCAATTCAGGATATTCTATGATTCCATAGAAGCACAGAGATGATTCCATCTCCTCAACAACAAGGGACATTCCGTGATGGGAGCAAAGTCACTCAGGGCTTCCTGGAGGCTGGAGGGAGCCCTGCTCTCCCCCAGGCAGCAGGAGGAAGACAGAGACCCTCACTCATGGCATGAAACTCCTGATAAGGGTCTAGTTCTGCAGCCCCTGACAGGGTTGACCACAGTCCTGCCATCTCCTGCCCTAAAACAGGACCGGTCCCCCCCCATTCCCATCTTGGTGATACCACCAGCCCTGTCCCATTGGGGTCCCACACAGCACCCAGCACCCCCAAACTGCCCATCCTGGGGCATCCCACCATCAACCTGCTGGCACCAGCTGGGCTGGGGTGGGACAAGGACACTTAAAAAAAAATAACAGAAATATATACAGAGAGCCTGTGCAGGGATGCCCCAGGGCTGCAGGTGCCTGTCTCTGGGCACTGACAGTGTCCAGCCAGGGTGGGACCCCCCTGTGGCACTGACCCCAGTTCCAAGGGGGCTATAGGTTGGTGATGTAAACCTCCAGTCCGTTGGCTGTCCTCCGGGTGGAGGCTCTCCGGGGCTCCCCTGCCCAAATGTCCCCAACGCTCTCGTACAGGTTCTCAGGGACACAGGTCTTCCCCAGCTTGTCCCGTTTCGCTGCCTTCTTCCAGTTCATGTCCACAGCCTCGTAGTCGGGGTCGGGGCCACGGCCCTGGGCAGTCCAGGCTCTGTCATTGATGGATTCATAGCAGGGGTCAGAGGAGCCTTGGGCTGACGAGGTCCAGCACCCGGCTGGGGCACCCTCCTGCTGGTGTGGGGGTGGCCACCCAGAACCCGCCTTCCTCGAGGCCCTTGGGGTCGATGCAGGGACCTGGGATTTCTTCTTGGTGGCTTTGCACACTGTCGAGTACATCTCTTCCAGCTGCAAAAGGAACTTTTTTGGGTGGGGGTTTGGGGGCGATCCCTGCCCACTGTAGGGTATCCCCGTGCCTGTGCCACCCCCCCCTCCCCAGATTCTCACAGCCCTCCAAGAGGATCCTGGCAGTGGATTAACTGTTGGGGATCCCACTTTTCGTGCAGCCCAGGAAGCCTTCTGTGGGGCATAGGGAGCAGCATTTTGGGCATCACCTGCCCTCTGAGGTTTTGGTTTTGTTCTAACTCCAAAAAAACCCCCAAAAAAAGTGAAAATGCAGTAGCCTAATTTATACCCTGCTCCAAACACGGGCGCTACAGGGAGGCAGGGAATTACATGACCCACTCTGTACCCCATCCCTGGTGCCCCCCCAGAGTCGTACCTTGGCCTGGGGGGCATTGCCTGTGCCATCCCAGCATTGCTGTGCTCCAGAGGGTCCTGCCATGGCCTCATCCTGCACCTCCACAGGCACCGCCTTCTTCACCTTATGGACACGGGCGTAATCGCCCGCCCCGTGCCCCACCCGCGGGGGGGACAGCTGGGTGCCAGCGGGTGTGAGGGACACTGGAGTGTCCTCCCCCCCCACTGCCAGGGACTCATAGATGGTGTCTGCTGCCGGTTTCCGCAGTGGGGTGAAGAGCAGGTTGGAGTAGGTCTGGTCAGGGGCCGGGGATGTGGCGGGGGGCTCGGGGACGGGGATCTGGGGCAGCTCACGGTGCAGGAGGCCAGAGCTGGGCAGGGACTCAGCTGCGGGGGCTGCGGGGAGGTCCAGGCTGGCTGGGCGCTGGGCTGCAGGAGAGGAGAGGAGATGAGGGGACATGGGGGAGGCAGCACCACCAACCGCTGTGCCAGCAGCACCAACCGCTGTGCCAGCACCATGCCAGCACCACAGCACGGCTGTGCATGTCGTGGTGTGCTCCCTGGGCAGTGTGGGGAACTGCAGGCACTTGCCAAGGGCCACCGGCCCCGTTGGCTTTCCCAGCTCCACCACCACTCACCGCTGTCTCTGGCCTTCAGCCGGTACAGCTCGTGCAGCTTCGTGTCCGACTTGCTGAGCGATCGCAGCTGTGTCTGCCGGAGCAGGGACTGCAGTGGGGGAACACAAACTCTCAGCTTCATGTCTGGGAGCCCCAGAGCCCCCCCCGTGGGGTTGATGCTGCCCCCCAATGTGTGCTTACCTCATCCACCAGTTTCACCCCATCCGGAGCGACCTTCTTCCTGCCCTTGCTGTGGGGAGAAGTGGAGCTGAGCTTGAGGTGGGTGGACAAGCCAGGGGTGAGGAGCAGGTGCCCCAGGACCCCAACCTGGCATCCCCCAAACCCACAATCTCCCTGCTCCTTCCCCAGCCCTGCAGCAGGGTCTGTGCTGGCTGGAGAGGTCTCAGTTGCATCCTGCACTCCACTGAGCTGTGCCGGGCACCACTGGCACCACCCTCGGCATTGCCCGTGGCATCACCCGTCCTGCCCATCCCGCTCACAGCTCAGCCCTCTCTGGGTTGCTCCTGTGAGGTTTTTGGTTGCAGGGGGTGTCCCTGGGCACTGGGGTACAGGGCACCGGGGTTCTGGGTGAGCAGCAGATGGCAGTGGTCCCAGATCAGGAAGGGCACGCGTGGGGTCTCCACGTGTGGCCACCAAATGCCACCGAGGGGCCCCCAGCCCCATCCCAGTGCCAGGAGGGAAAGCAGAGGGGCTGCAGGCAGCACGTACCGTCTGCAGGCAGCACACAGGGCACCCAGGTAGACCAGGCCACCGAGCAGGGCCAGGGCAGCGCCGGTCAGCAGGAGTGGGGTCCCCACCGGCCCCTCACCCCTGGCAGCAGCCATGGGGGATCCCCTTCCAACACCACCGTGGGGCTGAGCTGTGGGGAGAGAGAACATGAGCTGGGGTGCAGCCGGGCACTGCCAGGCTCACCACAGCACGAAATGGTGCTCCATGACGTGAGAGGCACCTCTGGAGTGGGACATGCACTGGATGTCCCATTTTCTGGCCAGTGGTTGCCCTCCCCAGGGTCACCGTGGAGCCTCCAGTGCCCCACCTAGTGTGGACACCCAGCAGCAGATGCTCTGCCACCTCCCAGGAAAACTTTTGGCTCCTTTTGAAAAAACCAACCCAGTAAACCCAACGAGATTCAAGCTCCCAAGTTGCCACTGAGATGCTGAAAAGAAAAAGATTGCCAGGGGCCCTAGAAAACCTCTGAAACACCCAAAAAGTGACAGGGTGCTTTCTGGGAACACCAGAACACCGCCTGGGCTGTGGGATGGAGGTGACACCACTCCCAAGCATAGGGGAGGCCAGACAGGACAGGCAGATGATTCAGCTTCCCAGAAATGGGAGAGCTTTGGCCTCACAGCCACCTCTTCCTCCTCTTCATTCTCACACCCCAAGACACCCTCTGACTGCAGCAGGTCTCACACAGACCCCACCTCTCCTCTACCACCACAGCCCCGGGTCTGCAGCTGCTCTCTGCTGTGACATGGGAGCAGACAACGCCCAACCTTTCCACCACTTCCCTCTGCCTAAAGCCATGCTTTGCCCCAACCCAGCCTTTGTCCCTGCACCTTCCTCAAGGGAAGAGTCCTTCCCTGCAAACCGCAGCAGTGGCAGGGCCAGAGCAAGCGGTGCAGAGGCACGAAGGTGCTGGGGAGCCCGACACAAAGTGCAGACGCTCCCCAGCCTGTCAGGATCACTCCCAGGAGGCTCTTGGTGACCCCAGTCCCACCATCCCCATCCCTGCTCCGCTGTCAGCACTCTGCAAACCCAAAGCAAAAGCTGACACAGCTTCACCTGCCCCAGTGTTGATGGTGGCTGCGGCTCCCGGCTCTGCCCAGCTCAGCTCTGAGCACCCCGCGCTCCAAAAAAGGCTGGGCTGTGACCCGCACCCGGGAGAAGCCGAAAGGAGGCGGAGGCAGCTCCCAGCCCGGGAGTGAAGCCCAGCTCCAAGAAGCCAAGGAAGCTGATGCAGAGGGGGCCAGCAGGGTCCCTGGGCAGAGCTGGGCAGGACAACTTCCACCAGCACAGCTGGGCACCCACAGATCCTGCGGGGCACACCGAGCGTCTCTTACTCACCCTCTCAAATGTCACCATCTGGATGACAAAGGCCAGGCGAGCTCTGGTGAGAAGCCACCCTGCCTCATGTGAATCTCAGAAGCTTCAGCAGTTCCGTGGCGAGCGGGGCAGTCCATGCCCGTTGTCCCCACTGCCCTGACCTCCATGTCACACTGCAGTGTCTTTGGAGCATCTTTTACCCCAATAACTGGCAGGTCTCTGCCCACTCGCAGCACCCTTTTATCCGAGAGCACCCTTTTATCTGAGAACTTCCCATGCCTTTGGAAACTGCCCTGACTGAAGCCTGAACCCTGGAGAGCAATTAGTTCAAGGTAGAAAGTGAGACAGCGAGTTTTTAGGGACTAACCAGGCTGGACAGACTGGCTTAGATCAGAGCTGGGAAGGCAAGGCTGTTCCCTCTCCAACGACGTTTTAATTAGACAACACAGCTTTTCTGTCTGAGCATACATTAATTACAGGGATTACCTGCAACAGGGCCGTCGTGTTAGACAGAGCCTGGAGCTCCTCGCTGGACTGGCTCAGCTCATTAGAGTGATGGGATCACAGGCTGCAGGAGCTGCCGTGCTCAGGGCAGAGCCGAGCAGGCTCTGGGGTTCAGCAGACAAAGTTCTAACGAGGAACGACAGTCGGGAACCGGTGTGATGTCGGAATCGCGGTGGGAGCTTTCAGCATGCTGAGGCAGGCACACATGGGGCAGCTTATCCCACAGCGGGGGGATTTTCCATCCCTAAATTTTTAAGATTGAAGAAGGGAGAGGCTTCCTGAGTGGAAATGAATACAGAGAAATTCTTCTGACCTACTCAGTTGTGCAGGTGGGTGGTTGCTCCTGGATTTCTGACCAGTGAAACTGCCTCTTGCAGGATCAGCAGTCACTGGGAAAAGCCACTTTGGACAACTCGTTGGGCCTCCCAAAACTACGCATTTGCAAGCAAAGCCTCAGTGCCCGCCTGAAGCCGCTCGGGTAGGACCGAGCAGGTTTGCAAGGCAAAGTCTCAACCAGACCTTCTGAAACCCGCACCTGAATTTCCTGCCAATAAAGTTATCGATCTCCCAGTCCTGGGGCTGTTCCCCGGGGCAAGGAGACTCAGCAGACGAGGTTTCACAACGTGCCGGCTCCGCAAGCCCGGGTGGCTTTGAAGGCGAGGGCGGCCACGGCCGTTGCGTACGTGCGACGAACACCCACGGCCCAGGAGGGAGAACTCCCCCCCGTGACACCCCAGCACGGGCACCGTAAAGGGCAGATGGTTTGTTAACTCCAGGATGTGGGAGTTTTTTTGTGACTCCTACGAAAAGCGCAAGTTCCTCGGCTGGGTTTCACGAAAACAAGATCAACTTCACTGCAAAACTCAGAGCTGCTGCTGATTCTGCCCGACCTCTGATTCATCTCCCCAGATAAAACCACACAGTTTTCAGCGCAGGGTGATGAGCAGAAAGTCTGTGAAGCTACTCAAAGCCTGGTTTTTGCAAGAAACCAGGGGGAACATTTTGAGCTGATTTCAATCAGCGACTGTGCACAGGGCTGCAGCGACCTCCTCTCGGGTACCCGGGGGAGTTGTGCTGCAAAAAAGGCCCAAGAAGCAGAAGTAGATAGTTTTTTTTTTTCTTTTTAATTATGAAAAATGAAAGCCCTGTTACAGTTAGTCACAACACTGAATCTGCCCTAGACCGTGGGGTGCAATTAGTGATTTTTAAAACAATTTCTAACACAGAGCAGGCATGAGATCTCACCCACTTCACTCATCTCTGCAGTGAGAAGGAGAGATTTCATGGTCAAACACCTCTGGAAGCATTTCATTTAGAAAGGACCAACTCTGTTTCTAAATGCCAGACCCAAATGTCCCCAAGCTTGGATGCATGCTCCCAGCTGCAGTTCTGACGGCTGCTCACGTGCTGGAGTGGCATCTGAGAAAATATGGCTTTAAAACCTCCATTTAAGTGATCACCCGCCCACACCGTGGGGCTTTTCTCCAGGCTGTCAGCGCCTTTCTTTCCTCCTGCCCCTCCCTGATCGCTGGACACTCACTCACTTGGGCAGAGAAATGCTCTTCTAAGGCAAAAACCTGCTGGACAGATTTTCTGCAGAGCTGAGCCACAGCAGGACACCAGTGGAGAGCTCGGATCTGCCGTTATGGGAAGCCAGATTCCAAACTCCAGAACGTATTAAGGTGATACGTGCCTTTTTGAGAACCACCTGCCTACCACAGTGGTTTTCTTGCCACACATTCTGTAGCTGTGCACAACCTCAGGTTTACAGAGGACAGTTTCAGTGACCACACTCTCAAGCCTCCTCACCCACAGCTCAACACAAGCAAAACTCCAGTTCCCCTCCCCACAACACAACTCGAAATTTTCCTATTGAAAAAAACCCAAAAAAAACACAACACCCCACACCTCCCAACTCAACTCATTCATCCCAAAACCAACTGGCTCCCACTCAGCCTCCAGATCCCAACCACGGGATTCCAGCAGCGCTGCCAACCTCCAGCACCTTTTCTTCCCTCTGACGCCCAGCAGCAGAGCACAAAGCATGGAGTGGCACACATCCTCCAGAAGTGGCACACAGCCTTCAGCCCAACTAGCAAGGTTTAACCCAGCTGGTGCTTCCCCAGAGCAGAGCAGGAATCCTGCCTGTCCAGTCTAGCCAGCTGCAACAGCACCTCCATCCATGCTGTGACTTCCCTATGATCTCGTAGGGTCTTAAAGGATTCCCCCCTCCTGTTTAACTGCAGATTCCCCAGACTGGAAAGCCAACAGCACTTACTCTGCAGGAACTCAGAGGACGGTGGAGCACAGAGATCCAGTCATGCTCTCCTCTTTGCCAGCCATCCTGGAGAACTTGATTTCTTTTATCCCGCCGAGTAAATCCCAATCAGGGGTTCCTGTGCCTTTCGAACCCGCTGAGCTCTCCCAGTCCCGAGCTCTGGGAGGAGCAGCCGGCTGTGAGCACACACGGAGCATACACACCCCGCAGCTTCCTGGCCTCGGAGGTGGTGGCTTCACCCCGGGGTAGGCTGGGTCTGTGCTCACAGGCTCCCAGCACAGCAGCACCCTCTGCCCCCGCCCGGCCCGTCTGGGTGCTCAGGGCAATACCAGGAAAGAATGAGGCGCCCCAGATCATCATTACCTTGCAAATGAGCAATGCCTTACATGGAGAGAGGGGAAAATAAACACCGACTTTATTCATCAGGGATGTGGATGTGTTGGGTGGGAGGTGGCAGCCACTGGAATAGGAGACTGAGGCTCCTGAATAGGCAGCCACTGAGCTGAGACACAGGGCTAACACACCCAGCTCCTAAAGGGATGATGTTATATAGTCTCAGAACACAAAATAAACCCCAAAAAATTTCTCTGCCCAGGTCAGATCCCCAGTCACGGGCCACTTCAGCAAGCACCCATGGTAAGCTGGGCACACATCAGTCCTTGTCACCACTCCACACTCAAGTGTGGGAAACAAACAGTCATTTGTGAGGGAAGGGCTCTGAGCAGCCACTGTTAAACCCTAGAGCTGAGCCCCGTGTGTGGAGAACAGGAATTCAGAACAATGAGGATCCTGCAGCCAATTCCATTAGGAACTGATGGATGCTGAAGTGGCCAGGGCAGCCCCTGCCAGTTCCACATCCACAGCATGATCCAGGTGCTCCCACAGGTTTCCTGAAGATGTTCATCTTGTCTGGTTTTGCTGCCTCGCTGTGTTTTCGGAGGTGTGTCTGCAGCAATGTGAAATCCCACATGACTTGAACAGCTCTGATCGTATCTTCCTCAGCCTCAGATTTTCTGGTTAGTTTGGCAGCCTGGCCCTGCAAGCAGGCTCAGCCCTGCCCAGGCTGACAGCTTTACAGGCTTCTTAGGCACAGATAAAAAAGGGGGGCACTAAAGGAGCAAACCTTTTCATGAGAAAAGTGACTCACAGAATAAAAAGAAATCAGTTTCTTAAACTAAGAAAAAACTGTGTCTGTAAGATACTGGCATGAATTGCAATTTTTTTTTTTTTTTTAAAAAAAAGCCTTTACAATGCACAAATCCCACCAGAAAGTCTGATGAAACCACTATCTCCTCTGGGGCAAGCATTGGCTGCCACCAATGCAGAATGTAACAGAGGGGAGAGAACAACCTTCCTGTCCAAAGACTCTCCTGGGCTGCTCCCAGCCCAGCCCCAAGCTCTCCCACTGCAGGGCTGCACAGTGGACAATACAGATCCTGCTCCTTGTGCTCATCCACGGCCCAGTCCAACCTGCACCTGGATCCTGAGGTTTTTTAGTAAAAGGACCTGTGTTCAGCGAGCCACCTCGGACAGAAAAACCCAACTGATGGTGACAAAAATCACAAGGCTCCCTGTGGAGTTGTTCCTAGTGTTTGGGAATCCCATTACACTGCTGGCTTATTCCCCCACTGTTGGCACTCTACTTGTGGACCCACACAGCCTTCCCTGCCAAGCCAAATGAGTTAGGCTACAGCATGTCCTGGGATACTCTTACAGTCAAACTGCTGAAATCTGATCCTCAAGGCCGCTGGTTCCCACCTCTGAGCTGCCAGTTTTCACTCTATTCCTAACACTAAGGCTACAAAGAACTGCTCCCCCCAAAAAATGGAGCCCTCAGATAAATCCCACAGTAAAAACCAGAAGGCAGAGAGCAGCTGAAGCACTTTGCCTCTGATGTTTTCTCCCAGCACAAGCCTTTTCTGCTTTGCCAGGCCGTGCTCGGGACCCTGCTTGTACCTGTGCTCCTCAGGGGGGCTGCAGGCAGAAGTCACAGCTGATGGCAGGATGTGGGGCTGTCCAAGCCCCCTCAGCTGCTTTGCAGCCAGCAGTGTTATCACCTGAGCAGCCACTGAACTCTGGATGGAGGTGCTACCGCAGGGAAAACGGAGGAAAAACGTGTGCAAGAGAGCAGAGAATCATATTTTGTACAGCCAGTCCTCATCCAAGGCCCAGGGAATGCTTTGGGGGCTGGATGGATGTGCACTCCCCCTCAGTCCCAGCAGAGCTCAGAAGCATCCAGAAACTGCTGCTTTTCCACCCAGTTTCAGGCTGGGCAGCCTGAGGCCCAGAGGAGCAGGATGGCTCATGCAGGCTCTGAGGCCAGGAGCACTAGAAGGACAATCCCTGCAGTCCAAGGCCTTCCTCAGCACCTTAGAACTCAGTCATCTTCTTGTGGGTTTCTGCTTTCTTCTGCTCCCGCTGCAGTCTGGCCTCCTGGGCCTGCAGCTGCCCCAGCTTCTTGTGAGCATTTGCCAGCTTCTCCTCCAGCCTGGCTGCAGCAACGCTGTGCCTGAAAGCAAAAAGCACGGTGGCAATGTCATCCTGCGTGGCAAGATCAAGGGCTTGTCCTCATCCCAGGACGGTTTGCCCTTTCCTGTGGGATCAGCACAAGGGACCTGTTAAAAGCCAGGAAGAACCCGATGCTTAGCACAATTTGGGCTAGAAAACTTTCTCCTGGCATGCTCAACAGCAACGTTGCAATGGTGGGCACGAGAAAGAAAAGAGTCCAACACCTTTCCTCAGAGAGCTCCTCTCTTTCCCACAGCCTGAATTCCAGCCAGACACATCTGCCAGTGTCCAAGATGGCCTGAAGCACACACTGAACTCTCTCCTCCACTTCCCCTTGGGTCTCATCCACACGTTTCACTTGTTCCTCCCACACCCCATTTCAAGCCCACCCCTTCCCAGAAGCACCAAGAACTCGGTCCCAAAGGGAACGTTCTCCTACCGCCCGGTGTTGCGTTCCAGGGCCTGCTGGATTCCCCTGATATCCCTCAGCGTTTGTTCAATCTCCTCCGCTGTCTGGAAGAGGTGGACACTCAGGACTTTCCTGGTGCTCTTGCTGGCGTGGTAGATCTCCTTGCTGTTCCTCTGGGGCAGGGCCATCCCTCCAGCCTTGTCCCCGGTGCTCTTCCCACGCAGCTTCTCGTTCAGAAAGTCAAACACGTTCCGGGGGGGCTTCCGGCCGCCCGACTGTCCAGAGTTGTTTCCCTTTGCTCGGCATTTCCTCGATTTGCCTGGGTCCAGCTTCCCCTGCTTCTTCTTCTGCAGCACCTCAGCACACTGGTCCAGGGACTTCCCTCGAGGAAGCACCACAGCCTGCACTGGCTCCACTCTGCCCTGAGAATTCTTCCCTAACCCTGAGGAGAGACACGGAGTGATTACAGCAAGTGAGGACAGCCCCTCTCAGAGTCACCTCCCACCACGGGCTCACGTTGACAGACTCACAAGCTTAGAACAAGCAAACAGGCTTTTGAGGTACCAAAAGCTGCAACTGCTGTCCAAGCAAGGGGAGCAGCAGCAAAGGCCAGGCCTGGAGCCTTTCACAGCAGGAGATTTGTGATTCCAAGCCTGGGGCCATCCGCCGGGCCGGTTTCTGTGAAACCAGGCCCAGCCTCACATTCTCAGCTTCTCCAGCCAGGTTCTACTTAAAACTGGTTTGGTTCCTCTGGGAGAACCAGAGACACACAGGCAGCAGGGCTGCCCTCCCAGAGCCCCCAAGGCTCGATGCAATTTGGGTGGGGAGCAGCGGGTTCAGCAGGCTTTGAAGTCTGTGTCCGGAGCCAGGAGATGTGCTTAACACAGACATCAGAAGCTTTGCAGATCAGCTCCCCTCCACCTCCAGCCTCCCGACGCTCACACAGCAGTTCTCACGGCTTTGATCGCCAACTTGACCGTGGTTCCAGTGTTTGCCATTACCATACAGGGCTGGCTGCCCCACATGCCTGTACTTCCATGGAATAAGTCATCCCTCTTCCCTCCAACACCACTGTGACCTATTGCATCGCTCAGGCCTCGGGGCCCTTCAGCACGGCAAAGTTCTGGCTTCATCCTCCCAAATCTTGGGTGTTTTTTTTCTTAACAGCCACAGGACCACCTCCTCCCCTTACCTTTTCCAAACTCATATCCCATCTGAACAAGCAGTTTGGAGCCAATGCCACGAGTATGGGCTTCCCAGCCACCGAAAGAGGAGCTGCACGCAGGAGTCCACTCCCGTTCTCTGGAACTCCTGAATCTATCACTGTGAGCACAGGAGAGGAAAATCAGCGAAACACAGGAACGAAGCTGCTCTGCAAAACCCTCGTGGGGGCCACTCACACAGCATGAAACCCCCTCGTGGAGCAGTACAATTCACTTCTCCCACCCTAAAACCATTTGGCCACTCCTCCAGCCCTGCTTGGTTCCTACCGAGTTGTCAACTTCCATGAACACTGCACAGGGAGTGACTGAAATGAGAGATCTCACTTAATTTAATTTTAAACCATCTCTCAGACCCAGGCACAGTCACCCAGGAGGTTTATGCTTCCTTTCCATCCTTCCAGGATGGTGACACAGAGGCACATAACACTTATCCTGTGCCTCCAGCTCCTGCCTCGGGTCCGAGGCTCCTCTGGGCCATGGTGCTAATTCTGTGTTATCAGGATCCAGTAACCTCTGTTAGGTTAAATGTTCAGGGCTCTAGGACACGACCCTGTCCCTGTGACACTGCTGTGGCACCAGCACAGGGACAGGGCTGCCTGTGTAACCTCCAAGAAGTCACTTGGAAGGACCCAACACTCAGTTACTGGGATCTCACACTCCTGGGTGATGAAGCTGCAGAGAGATGAGGGAAAATCTCCTGATTCACTTTTTAGTTCAACTCAGGCAGCCACATAAGAAACAGGCTCTGAGCCTGGAACTCTGAAATATCACACCCTCGTGGAAGTTCCCATGGAAACCTCCAGCCTTCATTAGCTCAGTGATTTGCATAAACCAAAGATTTTTAGTTGGCAGCTGTAACATAACAGCTAATTACTGTTCTCTACCTTTCAGGAACACATGAAGAGATTAACTGCTCTTTCATCAGAGGTGAGACACTCGCAGGGAGAGCTCCAGGACAGCCATCCAGTCCCACAGAAAGGCAGAGCCAGATCACAAGAAGCTTTTGCTCATGCCCTTCTCTCTCTCTCACCTTTGGCATAACCAGAATCATCGACACTGTCCTCGTCAGACTCAGACCCGGCAGCATCTTCA